ATCAGGTAGTTATAACTAAGAAGTCTTCCATTTAGAAATTTAATCATTTAAGAGCAAACGACCTACTGAATTAATATTGACGAATCACTGATAATAATTAATAACGTTTTTTCAGTTAATAATTTGTAATAAAGGCGAGTTACTTATTTGGGAGGAAAACCCATTCTACTAACTAACACTGTTATCATTGCTCTTGAATATTTCAGAGGCTTTAGTTAATAAACTAGTCTTACAGAAGGCATTCTCCGGTGGTACTTAGTATTATTGAATTTTAAATATCAGTCGGTATTTTTTTTCATTGGAATAACTGAAAATTCACTCATCAAACCTTCAAATACTACTCCATCACACAAGTATGCAGCAACCTATGCCTATAAATTACAGTCGGAAGTAATACATTGAAGATTGTGGATATTCCGTATGCACTGAAATGTGTAGCAGAATTTTACAACCGCTTATTATGTAACCACTGGTAATCAGATAATCAGTTATAACCCAAATACATCCACAATAGTATTTCGATAGCCAAAAGTTAGTTCTCTTCTATATTTTCATTTCAAACAACTGATTATTGAGAATACTCCAAAATTAAAATTTGAAAGAAAACATCTGAAAACAATTATTTTCTAAACACAGTTGCTTCGATAAGTTCTGATTTCACGTCAGTGTAAAACACCATACACATCACATACGAAACTTTTTTGTTTATTATCATGAAAAACGTACAAACATAATTGTTCTGATCATTAATCTATTTCTTAGTTGTATTCGTCAAGAATCGATCTCAGTTGGGGAACTGTTGAGAATTAGGGAGCATGTTTCCTCCAAACAGGAGACACTACGGCAGCAAGCACCCAAGAACGCGACAGCAACCGAGTCCAGGGGTTTCGATTTTCACAGAGAACGGTTAACCCTTAGGACGACTTAGTTGGCGTCCAGCAATACACTTTATTCAACTTGGGATATAGCGCGATATTCAATCAGTACCACAGGTGATAATTATTTCATTCCTGGCATGTTTAAATTCCAATTGTAATTAATCTCGCACTGTTTATTTGCAGTCATTTTACAAATATAAACTGCTTAGATGTCAAGTAATATACTGAAAAAGAAATATGTTTAAACTAAATATAGTAAATAATCAATAGCTTTAACAGGGATAGAAACGGTATGTGGCAGTTTTGTAGCTACCCTGTTAGCCACACCTATTGTGTTGAAAATACCCGTCGTGTGTGTTTACTAAAAATTAATGGAAAACTGATATACACAACAAAATAGTATTCCATAATTGAAAATCGATATGAATCGACTATCCTATTAATGACTCAACTGTCAATGAATTCAAGTGATCATACACTGGATGTGTAAATATATGTATATATACTCAGTAACCTCGTAAATGTATGCTGAAATTTTCGGAAAATACTTAATCAACCGTTTTTAATGATTTATCTACCCAATTGGTCAACTCTGTGTAAATTCACAAAAATATCCAACTTCTTACTTTATAGAAAAATCCGAATTTAATCCACAATTGATCATTAAAGGAGAAAGCCATCGACACCAATCCTTTAAAACGTCAAATCCTTAATACTTTCATTCCGAAATCCTTGAACACATCAATCTCCTCTATACCCCTACTTTGTATCCAGAATGCTTATTTAAACCCCATGAATATCTCTTAAGTAGTGTAAGTGTTAAAACCATCGAAAGTTATGACACGTAACGTGAATCACGGCAACATGAAATTGAAATATACACATAATCGTTATGGAGAATGTTTTAAGGTTAGACAAACTGCAGATTTGTATAATTTATGCAAACTAATACCAAAGTGTAAATCCTTAACTTGTTTAGTATCCGTTCAAACCCATACGGCATCCACGGAGTGAAGTAACACACTATGGCGAAAGGTTTATAGAACACTAATTCATACCATAATACCCTGTTATTTTCGTAGATTCATGACATGGTAGCAGTTAATTTATTTAAATGATATCTTAAAACAATCACGCGAACTTTGATTGCTTCATTTCCTAATTACTGAAGCTTGATTGGAACATAATAAACGTGTTGGTGACTACACAGCTGATTTCGTTCTTTATGATAAAACAGTATTGTGTTGAATATCAAATTCGATGACAAAGCCGAACCGTTGCATTAAGGTAAAAATATTATGTAAATGGTTTCTTGAACACGTCACAAATAAGTCTAGTTTTCCCGAACATAAAAAACTATTAAAGTTCGACATATGACTCAGTATAAACAAAAACAAATTAGGGCGGTTATGGAAATTGTCCCCGAAGTTACATTACACAATAACTCAAGCAAAGAATTGTGGCTGTTAGTACTTCAGGATTATGTTATAGGTCAAATACATATTTTTAGTATTTGCTAAATTACTAACTTTACTCTGATATTGCTAAATCAGGGAATGTTTTATAACAATTAACAAGGAAATGAATGGAGCTATATACATTGAGAGGGCAAGTACACCCGCAATGCTTTGTGTTTAGAATATGAATATTCAGTTAGCTTCATTGCAAACAACTTTTTAGTACATTTGTCTTTCAAAGACAATCCATAAATGAAATGCTATCACAGATGAAAAGGCACTTATGTATAAAGAGAATTGTTTTCCTGCAGAATACTTCCAACTCAGAAAGCTGTGTTCAGTTGAAAAACATGCAAGTTCCCTTACTTAGGTTTTCACACTTTTTATTACACCACCATTTACGGTAAACCGCTTCAGAATTTCAGGCTTTTACTTATGAACCAGGTAGTCACTTCAGCGAATAATTTGAAGTTATCTTTAATTGCAACAATTTTTGGGCAATAGCTTACGCATAATCAAAACTACTACAGATGTGTAAATCACTACTTTTTCTGGTAGTTATGAATAAAGTTTCGAAGTGAGAGAATGCCCTATAATACGTTTTCCTGTACTGCGCAAGAGAGGAATGCCTGTTAATAACTACACGGGAATAACCACCGTTGGAACGATAAAAAATTAACAAAGTAGTTAAGAATATGGCTAATCCTATTTTTATTACGAACTTTTACCTTCATCTTGTTTTGATGAAGCACGCCATCCACGAGATTACGACTGTGAAGCTGACATCGAATTTATTAGACAAATTCCCCTACACATAAAGATATTGGGTTGGCGGGAAATGTAGTCGTATCAGTGAAAAGCACACAATTGCATGCTTTATGCAACTAGTAAGATATATACTACCTTCACATCAGCTCCGCATAATTGGTTAATTCAAAAACTATGCCGTTGCTCAGTGGCTAACTAACACTATCCACTAAGTGTTAGTCTAACTCTGACAGGGCTAAGAAAACCTACATGGAGGAACAGTTCCATTAATCCAATTTTGCGAGGTCTATACTTGAGTTCCCCGATAAGGACATTATTCTTCAACAATTTAAAAATATTGGAAAGGATTATCTCGTATTGTAGATAATTATTATAGCTGTTTAGCGATAGTGATGTACGGTAGATTAATATCACAAGTATTCACAAGGGAGTGAATGAAAATTCCGTTGAGGACAAAAACGATAGGAAAAGTTTTATGAAGACATCAATAATTCCCAAGATAAAGTCGTATGCAAAAGGAAAAGCTTTCCAGTTATCTTCATTAGGATTGTCAAAAAAGCATTGCGAAAAAGGGAAATTTTTATCCGTTCACTATGTGACTAGTGCTCAATCATTTTCCTCCGATTATCTAGTCACTGATTTTATTTAAAACTTTTAAATTACGAGTAGTACTCCATACCATTAAGACAACAGATTTACCAATTACGAAAGGTGATATCTGAGAGTACATTCTCCATTCAATAATGAAAGATATTCTTCTTGTTTCAATCAATAGACGATCATTATCTCTATGACCTACAAAAATAAGTGCAAAACAGAATTATGGACTTTGTGAACCAGAGTAACAAACCGTAAGAAGATGTGAATGAGACTAAAGCAAGAAATCGACTGACTATAGAGAACACTGATTCGGAGTGGTCAGGTTTCACAATTGCATTCCACTTTCGGTAGATTTTGTTTAGTGGGAATTACAACCTTTACGTTTAGATGAAAACATGGTTTTACTAAGTAAAATATTAGTCAATATTCCCAAGTTGCAGAACATAACATAATGCACTAGATTGTCATTAAATCCAGCACAATATGTTAAATGTAAGAGTATCAGGTAGTTTTTTTTTCATTTTTCTGATTATAGTAAGCTTATTTTCTGCAGGCTAAAAGTCATGCTGATATATGTTATTTTCATAAGTGGAAACGTTTCTATTTACGAATATCCGAGCTCTAGTTAGGAGATATTTAAGCAACTATACATAAATGTTTAGGAAGAAATTAACTTTGAATTGGTGCGCGCTAAGTTGGATAATTGTCCCGTAAATGTGCATACAAAAGATACTAAGTTGGTTCTTCTAGTTTCTTCCACTGAATCACCAAATATAATAAACAAACACCTAAGATTAATTAAGATCCGAAAAATATCCAAATCTCGAACAGACACATGTATTAGGTAACAGTAATTCATAATTATACTATCTACGGCTCGATATATATGAGAAAAGTCCCTAATAACCCACGGGATCAGTAAAACTAAACAAATCATTCGTAGCAAAACAATCGTCACAACAACATAAATTGACATTTAAAATTCTAAAAAAAATTAACAGTGATAATGTCAGGTTACTATTATTAAGATCTACTTAGTGAATACGTATATTTATATAACCCATTGAACAGCTGAAAGCTAGTTTGTGATTAGTATAGTAAGTTGAATCCGACCAAGAATGAAAAACGTGTAACCAGTTCATCAAAAATAATTTCATAGCACTTGAATTGATATATGCTAATATCACAAACAATACAGTGTTCCTATACTGTATTAATCAATATTTACTTAGTTTCATAAACAATAAACTGTAAATTCAACGGAAGATTAATATCCCGAAATATCAAAATTGACATTCAAAACTGTGAAATCATATATATTTCCTGATGAGAGACTTCATTATAAGTGGATAATATCAGATGTATATGAGTACCTTTAGATTATAAATACAGACGAATTAATAAGTTCTCAAACAGTGATATTCAATTTCAAGTATATTGAGTAATTTACTACTTGTTCAAGTTCCAAAGGATAATAAATATAATGATGAACGTGAGCATCCCTATAACGCGTCACACGAATTTTTTAAAAAAAGGTGGGTGATAGACACCATTGAGAAAGAAAAAACAAAAAATGACCTACGAAGAAAAAAATTACAATAAGAGCAATTATTATGAATAAATAAGTAATGAAATAGTTGCAACAATGATTTGATGAATTGGACAAAAAACTGGACATAAATGGAATGAATAGACGTTCCCTCATTCGAACGAGAATACATTAATTTTGAAGCTGAGAAACGTTTAGAATTTGCTTATACTAACATATTCAGAGAAACAATCACAAACATATGACAATCATATTAATACAATAATGATATATGAAACATATCTTAACCGTTGACCAATGAACGGTTTGATTACGCTACATAATTACGTTTACTACAAATTTTAAAAATTGATCATTTGAGAAGGCTGCATCTCTGTTGAGTACTCTTTAATTGGAGAGGAAGAGACACCTAAGAAAGGAAAAAAATATGAAAAACAAGAGTACCATTTTGAAATAACTGCCGAAGCACATATATATAAGATCAAGCTATTAAAAAGTGAACGATGTAATAAAAATAAAATCGCTTCGAATGGGTAGATAATGGTTTCGGAAAAAAACAATGAGGAGAACAACTATTTTGTAAAGACTATAATTGTAAGTAAACTTCTGTTGATTACAAAAGTTCAGAACTTTCAAATTTCCTGTCCTCATTTATACACACAAAAATCCTAACGTTAACAAATTTACGAAAATAACATGGTTAACTCAAAACTTGAGAACGCAGTGAGGATGATGAGATACTATTACGCTAAGACCTAAGTGCTTCAAACCAGGATGTACCACTTATTACTTGTGTGAATCCGTAGAGCATAGCATCAGCTATGATTGTATAATGAGTTAGAATTTTCTTGTTATTGACGGTTTAGCATGATACATCCAATTAAATACACACATTATGAGGCATTAAAATTTTGTCATGTGAATTCGATTTGGCACATTACTTATCTAGATGTTTACAAGCTATATTTTTAAGGTCGCTGACAACCAGAAAGCATAAAGGAAAATTAATATAATTGTTCTATGTGATATAGAAGCCCAAGTTATATCGCACTGAGTCCATCCGCACTGAAAATATCAGCCGCTTAATGGAGATTAATTAAAAACCTAGTACAATCACATCAAGGTAACAAAATAAATTCGGTCATCTGACAAGTAGTGATATCTACAATAGAAAAGCCATGCAGCATACATTGATTTTCGTTATCGGTTCCATACATGACCACTCGTCGTTAAAAATAACATTCGGTAGAATTTTTAAAATTAACAACTTTTGCACAATCCATTCAGCATTTACGTTGATTAATAGCGAATGAATGGAAATCACTGAAGCAAAACAATTCAAACAGGAATCCGTATAGCACTCAACCATATCAAAAGTTGAGATTCTCATGACTTCATCAATTACAAGCTATTTAACGTTGATATATAGTAATACTATACAATTTGTAGATAATCATGTTTTGTAGTTTCCCAATCACTAATCAAAGAAAGCACTGAGTTTCAGAACCAGTAGAAAATAAACTATTTAAGCAAGTTTGAGACTATCAACATGGTCATAAACATGGAAATTTTGATTAAAAACCCACCTTTTACAACCAATTATCAATAGTTTGAAATTTTGGCAGATAGATTAAACTTTAAAACAGGAAACCAGCACATTTCGGCTAAAGAAAAAATCATATAAGTAATAAACAGATAACAGTCTGATAACATGTTTAATGTATCACAATGGATAAAAACCATTTTAAAAAGATGGTCCGTTTGTTTGATAATACATTTGTGGGCCAGTAACTCCAAACATCCCAATCGCTGCGCCCGCTGGTGGGACCAAGGCAGCTGGCATAGATCCTGCTGGTCCTGGTAACATTAGCTGAGGTTCAGTTCCTAAATAAGGAAATAAAATATGTTAAAAATTTGAATTAGCCTAAAAATTACTATCTTCAGTTAAGAACTGATTCTTGATTTTCTGTGGTTTATTAGGATACTCTTAAGTAATATCAATTATAGAAGTTCACAGAACAATTTCAGGAAAAAACTTACGCATCACTAGCGGATTAACTGCCTGTTCAGCTTTCTCTTCCTCCGCAGCACGTGTTTGTTCGGAGCGTTCTAGACGATCCACCTGATTGAAAAATTAGCAAGGAAATGAAATTTTGGCTACTTATACACAGTGTTTTTATAAATACTACCACCTATTTCAATACTTCTTTTATCAATAATTCCTCAATGAAATAGGCGCCATAAAAAAGTGAATTTAAGAGACAACGGTTTTAACAATTGAAAGAAACAATAAATAAAACAAAGCAATCGAAACATAGAAAAATTTATCAATACACAATATACTTTTATTGTTAATTCTCTCAAAGTCTGAATTAAGAATGGCATAGCCATGTCAATAAGTCCATTGCGCCAAGCAAGTTCCAAGACAACATCTGGACGCAGTAGATCGTAACAACGGTAGAGACAGGCTGCAAAACAATCTGGAAGATTTTCAGAAAGGAACCAACGAAGCAATTCCTCAGCTGTCTCAGGATCCCGAGAGTCCCAGGCATATTGCATGGCGTCCTAAAAATTAATAACATTGGTTACATAAGCCATTACATATATCTGAAAGTAACTCATTCGAAAACAATGTTGTAACAGCACAAATAAATTCCCGGTAAATTTATTGAATCAAACGGGAATGAAAAATACTTATATTGAAAACCATCACCAAACCATTGAAAACGAATTCGGATCATATAGACAATAAGACAAAGGACAAGTATTTTGAATTAATGCCTCAAATATAATTCTGAGAGTTCATATTGTAAGTCAAAATAGTTTATAGATAAATGGATAATGAAGTATCCAGATCATTCAATTCGCGATTTATAGAACACTTTTAATTGTAAATATTTTAGTCTAAGACAAGGGATTTGAAAGTAAGACCTCATAAACCTAATAGTTCACTAATACTAATACATGTAAGCAATAAAACAGCCCTGTTATCGTAGAAAAGCAAGTAAATCAAGATTAGTACCATAAAATCGTCTAGCTATCTAATTAGACTTTTCTAAGTCCAACTATAAAACCTGAGGAAAAAATATATCACATGAGAAGCCTTTAAAAAATATACCCCGAATCCCAAAAAATGGAAAATGTACTGGACCAAATGGTTTATTCGATATTATGAGTCATCATTGCAATTATCAAAGGAAATGAAGCATATCACAAAATGAACTTACAGAATACAACTGATCACGTTTACATAGGTCGATACTTTGCATCCACCGATTACTACCTTTAAACAGTAAAGCAGCAAGACGACGGAATTCAATGAGTTCATGACGCTCTAACTGTTGAGCCAACGCAATATGATCAAAGTTACTATGAGTTTCAATAGATTGCCTTAAACCCTGAAAAGAAAGTAAAACGTAAAAAATAACTTTTAAAAATACCGAGTTAAAAGCGAGTAGTAGTCCCCAATTATGAAAACTTTTATATTTATTTACACTGATAAATATCACAATAATTTGTAATATTTTAATGTAACTTATTTACCGAATGGTGGTTCCCATACTCAGATTAGACATAAAGTTTGTGTAGCGTCGTTAAGACCTGCGATTTATTGGTTGGAAGAGAAGAGCTTTTACAATAAATGCTTTTTTACATATGTTAATGAAGTAAACTTATTTTAAAATTACCTACGAACCAGTCAACTACTGATGAATATAACAGAATAGATTGTTAACTAACGTAAAAAGAAACCACCTATCAGCGATAAACTTCATAAATATAAAACATGAAACTTGCTTGATAATCTTCTTCTTCGATTAACAAATCGTTTAAAGCCTCGTTGACTGATTTATTATTTGCGTTATTTTGTTGAACAGACCGCAAATAAGTTTTAACTAGAGCAATATGCCCTGCCTTGATGAAGAAATTTACTGCACGTGTATGGTCCAAACGTGGTGATAAGACCGTGAGTAAATCATTTAAAAGCAGCGGTTTGTAAGTCAAGTAGAATTGGATCGCTTTATAATATAATTCTACATTAGCAACTCGTGTTATTAAGTCTTTGAAATGATTTTCTCTCCATCCTTCAGTTGGATGGCTCATCATTGTAAGAATCGCATTATCATACTCTTCATACTTATCATAAAGAAATACCAACTCCGACCATAAATGGGCTTGTTCGGCAGCACGAAGAACCTAAATCAAACAGAAAAAACAGGATAATTTGCAGATATCAACAAATAACTATAACACTAAAAGACAAATAATACAACATAACTCAATGAAACTGAATGTGCATTTGCCCAAAAGAATTGAAAAGAATTGGTGATGAACACCTCTGAACACGATCGTACGTATTTACCGTGTGATCACCTTTTGTAAAGTCAGGTATATTAGCTGAAGAAGTCCTGTTAATCCTGAATATAACATTCATGATTTTAGAGTAGATACTATGAGGTATATATTGAGTTCAGACATAATGCTGCAGTTACTTATAAAGTAACAAACGATTTACCAAAACTCACTTATTTTTAAATTATTTAATCTAATATTGATTTTACGTCGCTTATTTTTTAAACATTCTATTGTTTCATAGGGCACTTAACTCAGACCCATTTGTATGTATCTAAACTCGCCAATTATATCCTGATTACTTCCACACTACTTACTGCAATTTCGATTAGCATGTGATCTACGTTTCAAGAATTCTCGCAACTGATAAGTATGATGAAATTTCCGGAAATACATTGAAATTACCTTTGGAATATTGACACGAGACCAGAAAAGCTCCAAATGTTCCCGCATTTTCTCTGGCTTAAACTTTGAATACAATATTGCCAGCTCAGTGAACATTCCCATATGTGCCCGTTCCAAACCTAAACCAGCTTCTAAAAGTTGAATAAGTTCATCAAAGTGACCACGTTGTTCATAGTAATTAATAAGATCGCCTAATTCATCTGCATGTACAACAATATGTAGACCGCACATTTGAGCCAAACGAAATTCATTGTGATTTACACAAGCGAAACATACTTCTTTCCAAGTGCGTGTTGAATTTGCTTTTCGAGCAGCATCCACAGATCCCTGATACTCACCTAAGTGAACCAAAGTTATTGCTAGGCGGGAATAGTTGCTAACGTTCGAATATAATATCTTAGCTGCCTCGTATAGTTGTTGGTCAAAACAACGATCGGCTACCTAAAAAGTAAGAGAAACGTTCACTAAATTATCCACATACAAAAACCAGGTATATTGAGATTCTATGAGATTCAAATACCCGAAAGCACTAAGCATAATTCGACAAAAACGATATCAAATATACTACTGGAAATTGAAATTATGAAGTTATTTTAAGAAAATACTAAAATATGATACTTACAACAGTGATATTGGCATGATTTGGTCCTGAAATGAACTCTTCAAGATCTGACAAACGATTAGTCTTTGCATAGGCGAAGGCGAGCTCTGACTCAATAAACGTCTCACGGGCTTTCTTTCTTGCCATTTGAAGATAACGAACTAAATCTTCCCAATTACCAGAATTCGAAGCAGCTTCGGAAACTGCTTGGAATCGACTAGGATCAGACGCTTTCACGTATGAGTCAATGGCTTCTTTTATGGAACCTTGAGCTAACTGAGCATGCGCTAGAAGACTCCAGACAGCTGGATCATTACAACGTTCAGCAAATTCATAGGCCCTATCAAAATTTTTGACATGGTCAATCAAAACCTAGAAACAAACCACGAGAGTGAAAAAACAATATAACGGTCATTGGTAAAATAATAATGACATTTATTTGTACAGGAGATACGTTCAGATGAAAACCCGAAAACGAAATTTGGCTTAACTTTTGCATTATAAGAGAGGAATATGATTATGAACAATCAACCGTATGAGGTTTTTTTTTTAAACTAAATAAACTCACTTTCCGGGCACTTGGGTATGAGCCATACTTTAAATGTAAAGCCTAATGACAATATGCGGTTCCTCGAACCAAAGTAGGTGGGGCACGGTTCAAGCGACTTAGCTACTAAACCATTGACTTACACACATATACTTGGGTCTGTAACTCCTCGTAGAGGAGCATAAGCCGCTCACCAGCATTCTACATCGGACTCTGTCCTGGGATATCCTTTCTAGCTGTTTCCAAGTGCTAATCATACTCTTCACGTCTGTCTCACATTCCCAACTCAATATGTTCTTTGCTATTCCTCTTCTCCTTTTCCCTTCACGATTCCAAGTTGGAGCTTGCATCGTGATGCAGTTTGGTAATTTCCACTATGTATCACCTGTCCACTTCCAGCGTCTTTTATTAATTAACTATTCAGTTGGAAGTTGGTTTCTTCTTTCCAACAGTAGGCTGTTGCTGATGGTATGCGGCAAACGGACATTCAGTATCTTGCGTAGTCATTTGTTTATAAATATCTGTACTTTTTGATGATGGTTGTAGTAGTTCCCCAAGTTTAAGCTCCGTACAGTAGAACTGTCCTGATATTCGTATTGAATATTCTGACTTCGATACTGGCTGACTGTTGTTTTGAGTTTTATATGTTCTTCGATTGTAGAAATGCTGCCCTTGCTTTGCCAATCCTTGCCTTTACGTCTGCATCAGATCCTACTTGATGATCGATTATGCTGGCTAGATACGTAAATGTTTCCATCTCTTTCAGAGTTTCTCCATCAAGTGTGATTGCGTTGGTGTTCTCTGTGTGGGTAGGTAGGTGGTTGACCAGACAACGAAATATCCACATTTATCAGTTATATTGAAGGAATGGACACCGTAACCACGTAAATTCGAACCTTTACGTAAAGCTTAAAATGCAATAGTGAAGATGAATACTTAACCAGCGTACATAGGTTATCATAAATAAACGATTTAAATTGCATACCCTCAAATGTTCGATAATAAGATACATAGGTCGAAACTAGTGATGCAGAAGATAGTTTTCAGGCAGTCTTCAATACAACGTCAAATCAATTTACCATGTCCACTAATAAAATACCTCTATATAAACAAAATACAACTAAACATATAAAACACTTGCCTGTATAGCGGATGTGTTGACTTCAAATTTCTTGAAAATGGCAAACGCTTCTTCAAAGAGAGAATTATTTATGGCTATGTTAGCAACATCTGGAGCATCATAATTATCCAAGCGATTAATGTATTCCATTACACGACTTTTATCAGCTTTAATTGCAGTTAGAATTAAAAGATTTTGAAGGTTGCGATGATCAGAAAATACTGAATTGTCCAAAACTATTTTTTCCAGAAGTTCAATTAGTTCATTCGGCATATCCGCAGCCATAAATGCCTTAACAGAAACGGATATCTCTTCAGGATCTTGGGTTTCAGAAAGTGCTGTCTGAACAACTTGATCAATTAATTGTCGACGGTAACTATTGGATTCACTCAAAGCTTCTGCCCACAGCTCGGGCTCTTTCCGTCTAACTAAGTAACGAGCTTCAGTTTTGAATAATGCGTTTTCATTGCAAACCTAAAACATAAAGCCGACTTACAAAATAATAGCAAGAAGATTTTATTGTAGGTAGATACAACATAAAACCACCAGGTTTCGAAAAACTGAAGTACAAGTGGATCAAAGAATTAAATTAAAGTTGGAAATAATACATTATATGTAAAACGTACTCTGATTAGATCTTGGTCACAATGTCCACGTTCATATGCAATACACGCCAAATGTGGATCACGCTTTTCACAGTATTTACCGACAACAGAGCTATTATAATACTGATTTTCTCTCAAGAAACGTTCAGGATTGTTATTAAGGTCAATGTAAATCTTTGCTAGGGCATTGTGTGTAGCAGGTTCAACAGAACCTTCATGTACACGTGATTCAAGCCATGGCAGTAATAACTTCAGCCGATTGCGCTTTTCCACCTCTGCAACAAGTTCATCAGTATTGAACTGACCTGGAGAAATAAATAAATAACGAGTGTTATACTTTATTAACCACTTCTTGAGCTTACAAGTAGGAAAAATTATAAACGTACCACGAACAACGGCCATCAACTGCTTTATTATATCCTCTGAACAATCAACATCTAAAAGACCTCCAACAACTACTGGTAAACGGGCTGGATTAACTTTTTGTACATAAATTTCAATGTATTTCTGCAAATTATTACGAAACAAATAAAGGACGAGATCATGAACAAAATCGAAGCGATCGCAGACAATAATAAGAGGTAATTGATCCGTAAGTTTTGCCTCCTGAAAAAAAGTATATGTTACATCATAAGAACCGTAAAAGAAATCCGATTAATATTATTCTAACAGAAATTGGAATATTAGCTGAAAGCATCAGTATTGACAGCAATTTCCAGTAGCCGTAACTGTTCATGCTTACTTTTTTTAAATAGAACTACCAGACTTCCAAAACTAATATGAAGTCTAGAAGTACAATCCTCACGAGAACTGCTTATTCTTATCACAAACCGGAGTTATGTATAGTATTAGGAAGTGCCTAGCAAAAATCTCTCCGTAGAGATGTTGAAATGTCTGTTTTTTCCATTAAACTTTTACCTTTCACCTTAGAGTGATCATGCAAGACATGCATAAGGAGCCTAAACTAGATGTGCCAAATTATCAAATGGACCACCAAAGCTCTCGCATAATTTAGTTGACTGTTACTCTTTATTTAATGTTATAACGAAAGATAATTAGCATTTAAATATATATCTATCATGAAACTACCACACATAAAATAAGTAAATCCTCCAGTACAGTGAAAACCTAATTTAATGGTCACAGTAAAACAAGTTCATAGTACGAATTTAGATATATTTCGAATCAACACCACCTGTTATTGGATGAATTTTAACTAATAGAATGATACTTTGGAATTTAACGCAATACGCATTAAACTAGGAATAAAACCACATTCCCAATTATTTTAATTATGAATATATTTTTAGATACAACTGAGCAATTCTTTATCAAAATTACTGGGGTTGTGCAGTAATGATAAGATAAGCTCACGACCTTCTACATGCAATACCATCACTAGGAAAAATCCTTAGTGAAGAGAGTACATGTGTTTAGATAACTTGTAGACAACTGATGATTTAAACTTGTAACTAGAATCGGCTAGCATAAATGAAGTTGATTACCGCAATTTTATACGTATATAATAATTGCATGAGAATAAATACTAAGATTACTACCTTAAGAAAATTTTTAACTCGTTCTGGTTCATAACAATTGCTTTCGCGACAAATACGTTCAACTTCTTTGACTTGTCCGGTTTTACAGGCAGCTTGAATATATTTAAAATGAACTTCAGGTTCTTGACTAAAATTAACAATAGACCCCAAAAAATAAAACAAGCCTTCAAATGATTTGAATGATTCGAAAATTTCGATAAGCGCATTTGTCCCCAACTGTTCGTGATACTTAGTAGCAATCTGGACACAGACGTGGAGATTTTGTCTAATGTTTGCCTGCAACATAGCTCTCAAACACTCCAACGAATCATCGACAGAAAGTGAGCCAAAATAATTGACAAGCCACTATAAAATTTGTAAGGAAGAAACAAAGACTAGAAACATTCCGGATGAAAATAAAGCAAGTGAATGCTAACACCACATTTAAATACGAAAATTGGTTTAATACTTCTACAGATCAGAGAGAGAATCACTTAAACTTTCACATACATCTGGAGGAATGATGAAATAAACTATACATCAGTAAAAATTGACAAAATAGCTCAAACGATTGTCTTCTAAAATCAATAACAAACACTGTATATTCACCATTCGGAAATGTTTACCGGGTACAGTTTCAGGCCTTAATATGACACTATGGTGATAAGAAAATTGTTAGTAAACGATGGCAAGTACAAGAGAGAGCCACAAAGTGACGTAAACGGTCGGATAAATACTTCCACCATTAGTTATGCACTTCACATCATAAGTCCTACTGAAAACGAATAGTATACAGAAACTTTAAGAATTGCTCTACCAACTAGTCAGTCAGTAACAACGTAGAACTTCGTACGTACGTATATCAGTTCGAGTTGCCACACCACATTAGCACAGAGATGCAGTTGTCGATTCAAATCCCGTAGTGGTAGAGGTAGTAAGAGTATAAGCAATAGTCGGAAAGATTAGGGTTTGAAAATGTTATTCAAGGAGTATAATCCAGTGAAATAAATTTGGGAAGAGAAAAAAAAGAGACAAGGAGGAATCAGATCAGAATTTGGGAGAACACAAAGAGTGTATGCACCTGCGCCATTGCAAACGATTTTGAGCCATGTCATTCAGGGTCTCTAACCATCGGTTGCTATCATCTCGCGGACCCCAACCAGGTAGTCTACACCTATCAAAATGACTCAGTCCACTCGTCAGTGACTTCATGGACTCATGCCATGTTTTGGTTTGGCCGCCCCTAGCTTTCTTCCAACCTACTCCTATACCACTGAACATCGCACGTCGAGGCAGTCAGTCGTTGGGTATACGTAACACGTGTCCCAGCCATCTCAACTGATGAAGTTTCACTACTTCATCAATTGATTTGCAATCCTTACCTAATACCCAATTCCTAACAACTGCATTACTTACTCGATGGTCCCAGGATATACGAGCAATATTTCGAAGACACCAATGATCAAATACTAGTGACCTACCAATATCCTCTATTCTTATCGGCCATGTTTCACTTCCATAAAGTAGGACGGAACGAACTGCTGGGCAGTAAACACGTCCTTTGTTTGGCAGACGGATATCCCGCATACGCCATAAATGACGCAAGTTAGCAAAAGCTAGTCGAGCCCTCTGCATCCGTGCTGAGATTTCGCCACACACCAGACCACAAGGGCTGATGAGACTTCCAAAATAAGTGAAGTGATCGACACGCTCAATTACTTCACTCCCTATCATTAGTTCGGGTGTCAATGCAACCCAATCCTGAAGCAACATTTTGCATTTCGAGGGGGAGAATCGCATCCTGAACATGCTTGCATTGTTGCTTAGAGTGGTCAGAAGACTCTGCATTTTGTCAGCGTCTTCACCAAATAGAACTATGTCATCGGTATATTTTAGATCAACAAGTGAATCTCCTGGTAATTCACATGGGGAATGTGTTATCTCTAAAAGCACGTCAATGATAAAGTTAAACAAAAATAGAGAGAGTGGGCAGCCCTGAATAACACCACTTGAGGTAGTAAATTCTGGTGACAGTTCGCCTTAAGCCCTCACTCTACCAGTTGGGTTCGAGTAGAGAGCCTGAATAAGGTTAATGTACTTCTTTGGTACTCCTTTCAGTGATAAACACTGCTATAGAACCTCACGATCAACAGAGTCAAATGCCGCCTTAAGGTCGAGAAATACTACGATTGTGGGGCGTCTAAACATGTGTCTGTGTTATATAACCTGAAGTAGTGTGAATATCTGGTCTATACAACCACGTCCAGGTCGAAAACCAGTCTACCAACTAGTAGTGCGCAAATACAATGTGTGGAAGTAAAATTAATGACTGTAAGTCTAAAAGACATTGACATTTGTGTTAGAAAACCATATAATCACGAATATTTAGATATCTATCATTTGCCTAGTAACTGTTACAAAGACCACAAAAAATTCTTCACAGTGTATATCATAAATAAAGGAAATTATATCCAATGAATTAAGGGAGTGATTCGAGAGCTTACGAAGAATGTATACTCAATTCAATATGCTTATGTACTGGAGAAACTCCTGAAATAATCCTGATAATGTGGTAATGGGAATCACAATGCGAGATTATAATTTATTCCGGTATTTTCATCTAACTCTTAAAAGTATACAATATTGTTAACAACATTGGATTATTTTAACACTCGTATATAAAAGAGGCAATAAAATTCAATAAAGACATGGAGAGGAAATATAGTCGTACTGGTCTCATTTTAATCTGTCAGAAAATAAAGCACTGTAAATGAAATTAATATCCTTGGCTTGAATTAATGCTGTCGCGACCACATATCGATGAATAAACATAATTTCGTGTTGCACAGATAATGAAAGAACAGTCCGAATATTCAGGTATAACTTTTCTGTTATTCAAAATCAGTTCGGCAAGATGATATTTTTATCAATATGTATGAATATCACATTTAAATTAGCATCTCATAACCTTCACAATTCATCAACAGAACGAAACTGTACACCAGATAACTTACATTGAGAATATTTTAAAAATGGCTATGGGCACTCGTGACCTAAATACAGTACAATAAAAGCTTCCAAATCATCTTTATATTTGGAAAACCTAGAAATAGGTTATTTTCTCTAAACTATCTTATTCAAAACGTTTGCTGTCTGGACACAGGCATCTAAAAAGCTATTTGAGTTCATAAGTATATAGTTTAGGCCTAGTTATCACTGAACTGAGCAAAACAGTTTGAAGAAAATACATATATACCACACTGATTTTCAAGGCTATTTAAATTCAGGACACGTACAACAAATTAAGATTACAAGCAAATGTACTTACCTCATGATTTAATAAATGTGTATTTACGACAGCCCGTTTGATGTCGTAAAGATCAGTATAGTGTTCCAAAGCCCGCTGCAACAACCCCGCTTTCTCACACAACTGAGCAATAGCTGCCCGATCATAATGCGAAAACATTTGGTTGCCCAAAATTGCATCCGCAACCTGAAAAGTATCAAGACCGGTTACCATACAGAACATATTTTCCGAACGAGTAAAAAGAAATTCTACATATCCATAAAGATAATCGGACAGTGTAATAGCCAATGCAGGTTTATTACTGCATTTATACCCCTATTTATTAGATTTAGAATAACTAGGGTCGTTAGTTTTACAAAATATTAACATTCAACACGGTAAATTGAAACATAAACAAAATCATGAATTACATACAATAAGCATTTCGTGTCTGGTCATCACAGTTATGTGATAATTTGCATAGAGCTCGTATGTTCATTAACATAAATATCAAATTCAACCGAATCTTTAGCTAAGATATATATTTCTCATTTTGTTCTATATTTGTGACCCACAACACATTAATAAGGTTGGCTATAATGATATAAAACCGAAGATACTGTTCGACAACTAAAGACTTGTATATACCTAGTACTAACAGCATTAGTAGTAGTCGTAATAGAAAAGGTGTGGGAAAAAACAAAAGGTATGCGGAGATTTAAAAACTAAGGGAAAAAAGTGAGTGTACCTGTTTCATTGATGATGATTGTCGGTTATATCACTAAGTTTCAAATGATTGGTTATGATAGTCGTAAAGACACCAATCAGGTAGTCGGGTTATTATTGACTGAAGCTAATACTTTAGTCAAACATTCCTTTGGAATCGTCACAAGATTTTTGTCCTTTCTCATAAACTAGGACGATCAAGGGTCGACACCAATCAAATGGGGCCACGTTCAGTTCCCAGATTCCAGCTAAGATTTCGGTCAATCTAACTACTAAAACAGAACAGCAAACAACAGATATTTCCGGGGTTAATCCATCTGGACCAGCTGCTCTCACTAGCTTTAGATTATCCATAGCATTCTTAACCTCATTAAGAGTTGAGGAACTTACATTATTTTCTCATTTGTGTTGGTCATAAAAGTGAAAAATGGTCACATTTTTTTATTTCGAAATAGCTTAACTAACAACCGGATTTGTAAAACCTGTTTCCTCGATAAGTTTGAATAGTTTTCTACTAATACCTATTGCCTCCGCTTTTCCTATATCTTGCTTTTGCAATCCACCACTGCTAACGATCACTGTGTAAGCTTTTTAGCAGCCTATGTTTAAACTGCCTCTGTTTTTAGTCGTGCCCGGAGCCAAACGAAGTGAGTTCCCGAGCATCAAACAGTTCACTAGACGCTAGCGAGATCTAATAATGGTTCCTAACCCTTTGGTTTAAGTTACTGGCAGATACCACTGCTGTTTGAATATCACACCAAGCTACCTTAAAGTAGATGTGGCCTTCACGGTTGACTAACTGCCCTAGTTGTTCCTGATACATGTTCTTGACTTCATTAAGTTGAGCTTTAAAGAACCTTTTTACTGTGGCTTTTCTGAATTTAGAAAAACTCGGGCAAACACCTACATTCACTCAGATATGATCGGAATAAAGATATTCTGTGAAACGAGAGGTAGTCTTATAATGAGCCTCTCTTTGCTGGAGTTACAGAAAGTCGATGTTTGAAAAAGTAAAAAACTGTTTTAAAACAAAAATGTGCCCATAATGACGTGACACATTGGTATCCTGTGCAGATACAAGATGATAGTGTAACTAACATCAAACCAAATCTCGACATATACTAAACATGAAACTTACCTGAGGTGCTGACATCAGATTCATTTCTAATAGACGAGTCTGGAGATGTCCCTCAGAAGGTCGATTATGCTTTAATGCATCCAGTAAGAATGATGTACATTGTTGCACCAAACCTTGATCCATAAACGCTTTTACAACTTGTTCTAAATCAACTAAAGGTTCTTGATCCTGAACCAACATTTGGGCGAACTGCAAACCTTGGTCTGGGTTGATACGAGTTAGATTGTGTAACAGAAAAATATAATCTGGTGTGTAGCCGACCTTCTTTGCATAAACGATGATTTTCTGAAACTGGCCAGTTTCCGCAAAACATTGTACAACCTTTGGTGGGACATTGGCCCTTAGATAGACAGACAAAGCTAATGTAGGATCCGCCTATAAAAATAATGAAAGTTAATAGCCATTATAAATGACTATAATATTATATCTACTTAGTGTGACAAGTGAGAACCTGATATGATTGGCAAGCAACTCTAAAGTAACTTAAATGAAATAAAAGTAACATTGGTTCCTCATTTCCCCATAATTAATGGCGGGTTGGAAGTATTATGTACACAAGTTACATATCCTTTCAGTTTACTTAAAAAATGACCACCGTTTAGTCAACTTAGACTGTACTACTTCACATCTTAAAAAATTTGAATTCATGAGAAAGGTGAGAATGAAGCTGAGAGCACAAAATGTATTAAACACTTAAAGAAAACATAGAAACGGTAGGAACATTATCATTATTATTGAGACATCTATTTTGAAAGGTATATTCGCATCAAGCTGTGGTACTGATAGCTTTTAGATCGAAGCCAGAATTTTCTATTGTGAACCTTGTGATTCTCTTCCCAAATGATGAGTTAAGAACTATAGAAAGTGAAAACGTCACTACCTCCTTTACATAGCTTTAGTAATTTTTTTCCAAACATTCAAACCCATATGCTGGTGGAATGTGATGACAAATTGAACCAAAATTATTTTGAAGAGCCGTAACCAGTGAAGACACTTGGGAATCCGTCAACAACCAACTAGTAGGTGATAATTTTGTTTATGGATAACAATATAATTTATTCAAAACTTTTTGCCACAAGTTTTCGGTGATCATTATTTAATTAACTACACAAAGTAATTTTTGAAATCACGGGTAAGCATTCAGAAAAAAAGGAAAATTACCTGCTTAACAAGATCGCCTAACTCCTCTGAACATTCTAATTTGTCCTCCTTCAACCACTTTTCCAACAACGATTTCCTTTTATGTTGTAAAACTGGTTTACAAACCTCCAGACTTTCGAACTTGTTAAGTTGACCTTGGTCAAGTAGAATTCCAAAATAATGCGACAGGGCCGATGGTGCTACAGTTGACATCTATAAGAATAAGAAACGGATTTTACATGCTGGACGAGCGAAATGAGATGAGCTAAATCACGGATCACTTTGCAAAAACTAATCTGAAATACGCTTAATTGTTACTCGTCAGTAATCGTTTTCGTGAAACGAATTAATAAACTGCATTTCCAAACAATCTGGTGAATAAGGCGTAAAGTTAATCTATGGGTGTTGTAATCAAAAATCAATAGTCTAGAACCCTGACTCCCTTTAAACACAAATATGTAGCGTTGGAAATGCCATAAATAACTAATAATTATAGTGAGGGTCTTTTTAACCCTTGACTGGATGCACTGGCATTATTAGAGGATAATGTCCATCGCGAATATTTTATTATTATACGTAAGATAAGATATATTGTACCAAAATTTGCTTGTTTTATTAAAAACCTACCTGTTGAAAACGTTGAATTGTCTGTGGAGTGCGCAAAATACCTTTGGGTGCATTAGCTGCTAACTCCGCAGCTTGTATAAAATCACCGGATTGAAAAAGAGAATCGAATTTTTTGAAAAACAAATCTTCTGCACCAGGAAGATTGCATCTGGAAGCCATTTGGAGTGCAAGTGTAGGGTTTTCCAATGTAGTGGTTATGTAACTGATGATAGTATCTTCATCGATACTGACGGATAATACCTAAAACAAGAGTATGGCAAATGCTGATGTTCAAACTTTTGAATATACACTCAAAATAAATTCAAAGTAGACAGTGTTTATACAGCGAGAACTGCCAGAACCATATCTTTACACGAGTTATCAGAAAGGATAAGAAAATGCGTCATGGGATTCAAAATAGACGGGTGTTATTCAATATTTAGGATCCAAATTAAGTACGAAACTGCTCATACCTAGTATGATTTAATAAAAACACCCGCTGAATGGCGTCGCGTAATAAACATAAAAGAGTCCTTTGTTAGTCCTTTGATTCGATCTTTAGTATGAGTCAGTCAGTCAGACAGCTACAACGTAGGACCAGGCACATATATGCATCGGTCCAAGTTGCCATACCTCATTAACACAACGAGATGGACACCGGATTCATAAAAGTAGTTAATTCAGAGGTGGTAATATATAAAAGAAAGATTGCAATAAGGATGTAGTACAGTAAGAAAGAATTAGTTCGTAGAAAGAAATATATGAAGTGATTTTAATCTCTTAGTTTAAGGGAAGACAGGGAGTGTATACACCGACGCCATTGTGATCGATTCTGAGCCATGTCACCCAGAGTCTCCAATCATTGGTTACGATAGTCACGTGGACCCCAACCAAGTAATCTGCATCTACCAACATGGCTCAGACTAGAAGTTAGTGACTTCAAGCACTGATGCCACGTTTTGGTTTGGCCGCCTCTAAATTTCTTCCAACCATCCTGAACACCGGTTAGCATTGCACGTCGTGGTAATCGGTGTTCGGGCATACGTAACACGTGGCCCAACCATCTCATTCGATGAAGATTCACAAGCTCATCAACTGATTTACCATCATTCCTAATATACTGCGTCTAACCTCACTATTACTTACCCGGTGATCCCAGCAATATTTCTAAGGCATCTGTGGTCAGATACTAGTAGCTTATAAGTGTCTTCTACCCTTAAAGGCCATGTTTCGCTGCCGTAAATTAAAACAGAACGGACTGATGCGCAGTATACTCGTCCTTTTATTGATAGACGGATATCTCGCCTTCACCATAGGTGACGTAAGTTGGCAAAAGCCAAGCGAACTTTTCGAATCCGTGCTGAGATTTCGTCAGACACCAACCCATTAGGGCTGATCAAACTTCCAAGATAAGTGAAGTTGTCAACGCGTTCGACTACTTCACTCCCTATCCTTAGTTCAGGTGTTGACACAGACCAGTCCTGAAGCAGCAGCTTGCATTTAAAGGGAGAGAAGCGCATTCCAAACATTCTGGCATTGTTGCTTAGTGCTACCAGAAGACTGCATTTTAACACCGTCTTCACCAAACAGGACGATATCATCTGCGTATTCTAAGTCGATAAGTGGACCTCCTGGAAGGAGATCAATACCCGAGAACTCAGTAGACGAGAATGTTATTTCCATCAATAGGTCTATGATGAAGTTAAACAAAAATGGAGAAAGTGGATAACCTTGAATGACACCACTTGAGGTTGCGAAAGAAGATGACAGTTCGCCATAAGCTCTGACTCGACTGTTAGTGTTCGAGTAAAGAGCCTTCACAAGGTTTATGTACTTCTGTGGTACACTTTTCAATGACAGACACTGCCACAGAATCTCGCGGTCTACCGAGACAGATGCGGCTTTTAAGTCAAGAAAGACCACCATTGTCGAACGGCGATAAGTATGCCTATGTTCTAGAACCTGACGAATGGTGAATATGTGGTCGATGCAGCCACGACCAGGTCTGAAGCCAGCTTGATTCTCTCGTGTTTGCAGTTCACGAGCCTTAGTTAGGCGTCTGATAATTATCGAGTCTAGTATTTTAGATACTATATTAGTTAAACTAATCCCTCTACGGTTGTCACAGGATGATTTTAACCCTCTCTTATGTATTGGGACGATAAGTGATTGTGACCAGTCAGATGGAATAACGTCTAACTCCCAGATCTTAGCTAAAATATTAGTCAACCTAACCGCTAAAATTGGACCACCATCCTTAAAGACCTCTGGAGTCAATCCATCTGGACCAGCTGCCCTTCCTCGTTTCATATTAATTATAGCCTTTTGAACTTCTGCTAGAGTTGGGGGACCTACTTCAATGTTCCATTCATACTATCTGGGAATGGAGGGTAGTTGTAGAGTAGCTGAAGGCCAGCTGAACTGTTCTCTGAAATATTCCGCCCATCGTTCTAAACGTCTGCACTGAGAGTAGATGAGGGTGTCATCTTTTTCCGAAATAGTCTGACTTACACTTGACTTATTAATTCCAGTTTCTTTTATTAGTCTGTAGAGCTGTCTTGTGTTCCCTATAGCCGCTGCCTTTTCCATCTCTTTCGCTTTCGTTGCCCACCACTGCTCACGGTGGTTCCTTAGACTTTTGGTTAACCAAGATTTGATTTGCTGTCGCTCTTCATCATGTTCAGAGCCTGATGGGATGAGTTTACGAGAATCAATCAGTGCAAAAGACCTTGAGGAAATCCATTGGTTCTTTGTAACCCTGTGATTTAAATCACTGATAGATGTCACTGCTGTTTCCACAGCTGTTTGTATAGTTTTCCAAGCAACATCTGGGTCAGTCTCGTTTTTAGAACTATCTAATTGTGACCTCAGTTGTTCCTGGAACCTACTTTTGGTTTCCTCGCTACTCAATTCAGTTCTAATGGGTCTTTTTACTGTGGCTTTTTTGCGTCCAGTGAGGCGCAAGCAGATGCGTGCGTATGAACAATACATTATCCTTTTTTTTCATCCACACGCAAATGATCCGATTTATATGAGGGCTGAAATACTGCCCGGGCGCTCAGTCTTACTCGTAAATTGTAGGACATCAGTTACTGGTATAGATTATCGTACTGTTACAAATCCTAACCTCACAAATAGTCCTCATTACATGGGGAAAAACAGTCGGCTAACAGTCACCTGTTTTATGCAACCGTGGTATCAGTCAAGAGCCTGGTACCGAATTCGCTAGACAGAATATCAGACGTACCAAAGCATGTTTGAAGATAACACCCCTGAATAGTTTGTTATCTCCAAACTTCAACATTACATAATATTATTACTAGAAGTGGTCAATCATTGGTAAACGACGGATTAACACAAGGAGCATGAGAAGCAGATCAATTTGGAGTTACAATTAAAGTAATTTATTGGAACACAAAGTCCATCATTTGTCCGTCATACGCATACTAGTTGGTGTATTGCACACCGACTACATGTACACTAGAATCAAAGCCCAGAAATCTAATGACTTAGAGATGGGAACTCCGTACATATGTTAAATGAAGAGACTTGTAAAGATTCGTATTTTCCCGTAATTCATATTGAGAGCTGGAATCGGTCGATCTTTTCATGGTCAATGAGTTATCCAATCTTTTGCTACTATCCAGTAGAGAAGTATCGAGGTTAGAAGTGGTTAACATGCATAAAAATTTCAGTCTGTGCGGAAGACAATTGATATAGGAACTAGTATGCCTCAGACGATATTGCTATTGTATTCCTAGGTAATGGAGTGATAAGTGCTACGAACGTATTTACGTGTAATGTTTTGTTCGATATGAGTCATTATTTATGGTGTAAGAAACGATATTTATCGATAATGACTCATACTGGTAGTCTAACGACAAACAGCTAGTAGTTAATTTACAGACAGTGCATTTACACATAAACGGAGTTAATAGATCTAATGCTATTCATTTGGATTGGTAGGCCTGAGTCGCTCACACACTGAAGATGAATATAATAGGAAAATCTCTATGTTGAAATTCCAAAATTTTAGAGTAGCGTCAATAGATTCAAATATCTAGTCATTGCTACAACACATTCACCAGCTAGTTAAGTTACTGATTAAAATATAACCTGGCAGAAATACTGAATAAACTATTCTACATAAGTACTAAGGATACCGGCCACTAAAAAATGGGTTAATGTACACAAATTATTTCTAAACAGCAGTAATGTTAAAATAACAGGAAATACGTAGGGATACATAAAATTAAAACTAAACAAAGCAAAAATCCCAGCTAGAAATCCTACCTGCCCTTTCTTATTAACCCCAATGATACCGGAAGTTGGTTCATAGGGAGCTGTTACGAAAATAGTCTCGCTGCTTATCCGATTCATATATATACATGATCCGCTTTCAATATCATAAAGGTGTAAGTACCCGCTTTTCGTTATCAAGTATATGACGCTGTACTTTGGCGAGGTCTAAAAGTGAAAAATGATGACGCCTTACATACCTGCATTGCAACAGGAAAGTCGGTCTCAGCTTCTGGTGGGAAGTAAACATCAATAGCTTTCTTAGTAAATGGTTGCTTCCCTGCAGGTGGTTGGCCAACTTCAATTATGTGTAATTTGCTCGCTTGAGCATTTCGTGAGGCAAAACAAAACAACGTGGTGGGACTGGCTTTCCTCTCACGTGTGTAAAGAGCAAATGCAGCGGCATGGCCCTCTATCGCTTGACTAACTTTGCGCTCCACGCTGTACAACTGCATATATCCAACGACTCGGTTCTTTTCTGGATTTATTCCGATAAGCAGCAACCACTTCTGACTTGGGTCACAACGATAGCTTATGATGTGAGTAGACGTCAGAGACTGGTGACGATCAAACATCTTGACTGGATTTGAATCACCATCCATAGCCCAGTGATAAACGCTTGTGCCAGTTACGAGTGCAATGGTGTTCACGGATATCCACTTGCAAAATACGACATCTTCTGGCATGGTGTATGTCTTCATTTTGCTTTTCAGTTCGATGTTGAAAATTTGTAACAACTTCCCAGCTTTTAGAGCCATTACCTTGCTTACGGGGTTCATTATTATTGTATCGGCAGAAATAGGACGACGAGTAGGATTCATTGGATCATTCATATCAATAATTACAACTTGTGACGTCTCACCTGTAGTTTCTCTGACACAAATAAACTTATCCGATTCCATAGTCAAAGTACTAAATCCTATGTTGATAGGCTGTATTCCAACATTAACTAACTATAACACATGCACGATAGTTTATAGCTTATTATAATACTAACCTGCAAATGTTCCTGAAATTTGATGGGCATCTGTGAAGAAGCCATAACACCTAGTGACAAAAAATAGGTGAGACGGAGAAAGAAATGTAGACGCCAGTTATCAGTTTGGAGCAGTTAAACAAACAACTTTACGTCGTTTACCATCTTGGCAATCAGACAGAATAAATGCCACTACCTTGTAATTATCTTATACAAAATGATTTTTACATAAGCTGTGCTCAACAAAGTGAAAGATAATCATCGTATTTTCATCCATCAATTGTACTTCGAAATGTTACACAATCCGAGAGGAGACTATCATTCAGGAATTTCTTGTATACATGATTTTCTCGCTATTTGAGGATATTAATTCCCATCTTCATGATGCAGTATAAATGGAACAACCCATTTCCTGAACTCAGACTTTGGCCTGGTATGTAACCAACAACAACAAAAAACGTTGTATGTTCAGAAGTGTTCTGTGGTAGTGTTGAAGAATCGCACTCACCTGAATCACACACACTACAACGGTCCTTAAGATGTGTCCTATAACACTCGATGCTTTATTTATCTTTCTATTATACATCTTTAGGAATTTGAATTCTCAACGTTTCTGGGGGACTCCACCTGTAGCTTGGTTTACTGCCGCTCCCAAGCCCGAGTAAAAGAGGAGTGTTGAGCATGAGGTCAACTACCCCATCCCATAGAAAAAACCTTGCCAAAGAAAGCTAACTAAATTAAGTAAACCAAATCATTTAAACTCTGCCCTCCGAGTTGAAACAAGAATTATGATGCCTCATGATGAAAGTCGAAATTCTTCGGAAGTCACAAGGCCGATGTCTAAAACAACAATTAATATAGATACATGGAATGTCCGGATAATGTGTGATACCGTGAGAACCAGTCAAATAACTACGGAAATGAGGAGATACAACATAGTGGTGCTCGGAACCAGTGAAATGGAGCCTAACAGAAGAGGACAGATTCATAAGAGATGCCGCTGTACTCAGGTACAAAGACGAAAATACCTCAAACACTCAAGGAGTGGTTCTGATGCTGTCCACAGAGGTACGAAATGCACTTGTTGGATGGGAATCTAATGAATTCAGGATCATCAAAGCATATTTCAAAACAAAGTAGAGAATCATATTGAATGTTATCCATTGAGATGAGCCAACCAAAGATAACAATGGCGGTAATAAATATCAGTTCTATGAGAGGCTGCAATCGATCATAGCGAAGTGGCCAGGAAAGGATATGACCGTCCTGATGGAAGACCTAAACGCCGAATTTGGAATGGACAACACCGCGAATGAAGATATCATGAGACGACCTGAACTAACCAGGAGAAAGGAACGAGAATGATGACAGGTTTGCAAATTTATGTTCATTCAACAAAATTTTAATTGGTGGCACAATATTTTTCCACAAATCCATGCACAAAGTTACATAGCTCTTACCGAGTCACAGTACAGAGAACCAGATTGATCAGATTTGCATCAGTAAAAAATTAAGAAGGACAATGGAAGACGTAGGAAAAGAGAAAGGAGTTGAGACAGCTTGAGATCACTACCTGGTGGTTGTTAGGATGAAAATGAGGCTGAAGGAACACTGGACGACTGGAAAAAACAGAATTACAGAGGTTCAATACGGCCTTCCTTCGAGATACTGACAAACTCAAGGAATTCAAGATATATCTCAACATCAGGTTCTAAGCCTCATACAGAACAACAAGAAACGAATCAAAGAAGCAGTAACTCTAAAATGACAGGAGCTACTTGACCTCAAGTGTCATTATAATTAAGAATGGGTCTCTGTCGAGACCCTGGACATTATTTTAGAAAGAATGAACAAGAAGACCAAAATTAACAACTACCGAACAAAAAACATAGAAAGTCAAGCTACAAACTGGTTACACTGAAGCAAACAAGCTAGTGGAGAGGGACATTAAAGCTGGCAAGTGAGGATACATGGAACATTTTGCGACGACAGCGGGAAAAAATGCAACAGATCAAAATATGAGACAACTACATGACATAACAAAGAAACTAGCAGGGAAATATAGTGAACCAGAGGAGTCAGTCAAGGACAAAGAACGGAAGCCAACCACTGAGATTCGACTACAGAGGAACAACTTGGTAAAACACTTTGAGGAACTCTTGAATTGGACAGCTCCATTGAATCCATCGAACAGTGAAGCAGCACACACATATATTCCTATAGTCGTCATTCCACCAACGACCGAATAAATCAGGATGACGGGTCATCAGATAAATCAAGAAAGTAAAAACATCATGACCTGGCAAAATACCAGCTAAAGCACTGAAGTCAGATATAGAAGTAACTACAAACATGCTATACGGTCCATTCAGGACGATTTGAGAGGAGGAACAAATGCCGACAGACTGGGAAGAAGGATATCAAATCAAGATACCAAAGTAAGGTCTGAGAAAATATGAGAACTACAGAGGCACACCATACTGTCAGTACCAGGAAAAAGTTCTGAACAGAGTGTCGCCGAACCGGATGACAAACTCAGTAGATGCCCAAATTCAAGATAGTTCAGATTCCGTAAGGATCGGTCATGCACAAAACAAACCATGACACTACGGACCATCGATGAACAATCCATTGAATAAAACCCATCACTGTACATCATCTTCCTTGATCATAAGAAACAATTTTACGTTGCTGATGGTAAAACCGTAAGAAACGTTTTTTCCATACAAAAAGAATCGTCAACATCATATGGAATTCATGCGACGAAATAGAATGTCTTTATCGTTACTTTGTGGCCCTCACTTGTACTTGCCATCGTTTACTAACAATTTTCTTATCACCATAGTGTCATATTAAGGCCTGAAACTGTACCCGGTAAACATTTCCGAATGGTGAATATACAGTGTTTGTTATTGATTTTAGAAGACAATCGTTTGAGCTATTTTGTCAATTTTTACTGATGTATAGTTTATTTCATCATTCCTCCAGATGTATGTGAAAGTTTAAGTGATTCTCTCTCTGATCTGTAGAAGTATTAAACCAATTTTCGTATTTAAATGTGGTGTTAGCATTCACTTGCTTTATTTTCATCCGGAATGTTTCTAGTCTTTGTTTCTTCCTTACAAATTTTATAGTGGCTTGTCAATTATTTTGGCTCACTTTCTGTCGATGATTCGTTGGAGTGTTTGAGAGCTATGTTGCAGGCAAACATTAGACAAAATCTCCACGTCTGTGTCCAGATTGCTACTAAGTATCACGAACAGTTGGGGACAAATGCGCTTATCGAAATTTTCGAATCATTCAAATCATTTGAAGGCTTGTTTTATTTTTTGGGGTCTATTGTTAATTTTAGTCAAGAACCTGAAGTTCATTTTAAATATATTCAAGCTGCCTGTAAAACCGGACAAGTCAAAGAAGTTGAACGTATTTGTCGCGAAAGCAATTGTTATGAACCAGAACGAGTTAAAAATTTTCTTAAGGTAGTAATCTTAGTATTTATTCTCATGCAATTATTATATACGTATAAAATTGCGGTAATCAACTTCATTTATGCTAGCCGATTCTAGTTACAAGTTTAAATCATCAGTTGTCTACAAGTTATCTAAACACATGTACTCTCTTCACTAAGGATTTTTCCTAGTGATGGTATTGCATGTAGAAGGTCGTGAGCTTATCTTATCATTACTGCACAACCCCAGTAATTTTGATAAAGAATTGCTCAGTTGTATCTAAAAATATATTCATAATTAAAATAATTGGGAATGTGGTTTTATTCCTAGTTTAATGCGTATTGCGTTAAATTCCAAAGTATCATTCTATTAGTTAAAATTCATCCAATAACAGGTGGTGTTGATTCGAAATATATCTAAATTCGTACTATGAACTTGTTTTACTGTGACCATTAAATTAGGTTTTCACTGTACTGGAGGATTTACTTATTTTATGTGTGGTAGTTTCATGATAGATATATATTTAAATGCTAATTATCTTTCGTTATAACATTAAATAAAGAGTAACAGTCAACTAAATTATGCGAGAGCTTTGGTGGTCCATTTGATAATTTGGCACATCTAGTTTAGGCTCCTTATGCATGTCTTGCATGATCACTCTAAGGTGAAAGGTAAAAGTTTAATGGAAAAAACAGACATTTCAACATCTCTACGGAGAGATTTTTGCTAGGCACTTCCTAATACTATACATAACTCCGGTTTGTGATAAGAATAAGCAGTTCTCGTGAGGATTGTACTTCTAGACTTCATATTAGTTTTGGAAGTCTGGTAGTTCTATTTAAAAAAAGTAAGCATGAACAGTTACGGCTACTGGAAATTGCTGTCAATACTGATGCTTTCAGCTAATATTCCAATTTCTGTTAGAATAATATTAATCGGATTTCTTTTACGGTTCTTATGATGTAACATATACTTTTTTTCAGGAGGCAAAACTTACGGATCAATTACCTCTTATTATTGTCTGCGATCGCTTCGATTTTGTTCATGATCTCGTCCTTTATTTGTTTCGTAATAATTTGCAGAAATACATTGAAATTTATGTACAAAAAGTTAATCCAGCCCGTTTACCAGTAGTTGTTGGAGGTCTTTTAGATGTTGATTGTTCAGAGGATATAATAAAGCAGTTGATGGCCGTTGTTCGTGGTACGTTTATAATTTTTCCTACTTGTAAGCTCAAGAAGTGGTTAATAAAGTATAACACTCGTTATTTATTTATTTCTCCAGGTCAGTTCAATACTGATGAACTTGTTGCAGAGGTGGAAAAGCGCAATCGGCTGAAGTTATTACTGCCATGGCTTGAATCACGTGTACATGAAGGTTCTGTTGAACCTGCTACACACAATGCCCTAGCAAAGATTTACATTGACCTTAATAACAATCCTGAACGTTTCTTGAGAGAAAATCAGTATTATAATAGCTCTGTTGTCGGTAAATACTGTGAAAAGCGTGATCCACATTTGGCGTGTATTGCATATGAACGTGGACATTGTGACCAAGATCTAATCAGAGTACGTTTTACATATAATGTATTATTTCCAACTTTAATTTAATTCTTTGATCCACTTGTACTTCAGTTTTTCGAAACCTGGTGGTTTTATGTTGTATCTACCTACAATAAAATCTTCTTGCTATTATTTTGTAAGTCGGCTTTATGTTTTAGGTTTGCAATGAAAACGCATTATTCAAAACTGAAGCTCGTTACTTAGTTAGACGGAAAGAGCCCGAGCTGTGGGCAGAAGCTTTGAGTGAATCCAATAGTTACCGTCGACAATTAATTGATCAAGTTGTTCAGACAGCACTTTCTGAAACCCAAGATCCTGAAGAGATATCCGTTTCTGTTAAGGCATTTATGGCTGCGGATATGCCGAATGAACTAATTGAACTTCTGGAAAAAATAGTTTTGGACAATTCAGTATTTTCTGATCATCGCAACCTTCAAAATCTTTTAATTCTAACTGCAATTAAAGCTGATAAAAGTCGTGTAATGGAATACATTAATCGCTTGGATAATTATGATGCTCCAGATGTTGCTAACATAGCCATAAATAATTCTCTCTTTGAAGAAGCGTTTGCCATTTTCAAGAAATTTGAAGTCAACACATCCGCTATACAGGCAAGTGTTTTATATGTTTAGTTGTATTTTGTTTATATAGAGGTATTTTATTAGTGGACATGGTAAATTGATTTGACGTTGTATTGAAGACTGCCTGAAAACTATCTTCTGCATCACTAGTTTCGACCTATGTATCTTATTATCGAACATTTGAGGGTATGCAATTTAAATCGTTTATTTATGATAACCTATGTACGCTGGTTAAGTATTCATCTTCACTATTGCATTTTAAGCTTTACGTAAAGGTTCGAATTTACGTGGTTACGGTGTCCATTCCTTCAATATAACTGATAAATGTGGATATTTCGTTGTCTGGTCAACCACCTACCTACCCACACAGAGAACACCAACGCAATCACACTTGATGGAGAAACTCTGAAAGAGATGGAAACATTTACGTATCTAGCCAGCATAATCGATCATCAAGTAGGATCTGATGCAGACGTAAAGGCAAGGATTGGCAAAGCAAGGGCAGCATTTCTACAATCGAAGAACATATAAAACTCAAAACAACAGTCAGCCAGTATCGAAGTCAGAATATTCAATACGAATATCAGGACAGTTCTACTGTACGGAGCTTAAACTTGGGGAACTACTACAACCATCATCAAAAAGTACAGATATTTATAAACAAATGACTACGCAAGATACTGAATGTCCGTTTGCCGCATACCATCAGCAACAGCCTACTGTTGGAAAGAAGAAACCAACTTCCAACTGAATAGTTAATTAATAAAAGACGCTGGAAGTGGACAGGTGATACATAGTGGAAATTACCAAACTGCATCACGATGCAAGCTCCAACTTGGAATCGTGAAGGGAAAAGGAGAAGAGGAATAGCAAAGAACATATTGAGTTGGGAATGTGAGACAGACGTGAAGAGTATGATTAGCACTTGGAAACAGCTAGAAAGGATATCCCAGGACAGAGTCCGATGTAGAATGCTGGTGAGCGGCTTATGCTCCTCTACGAGGAGTTACAGACCCAAGTATATGTGTGTAAGTCAATGGTTTAGTAGCTAAGTCGCTTGAACCGTGCCCCACCTACTTTGGTTCGAGGAACCGCATATTGTCATTAGGCTTTACATTTAAAGTATGGCTCATACCCAAGTGCCCGGAAAGTGAGTTTATTTAGTTTAAAAAAAAAACACCTCATACGGTTGATTGTTCATAATCATATTCCTCTCTTATAATGCAAAAGTTAAGCCAAATTTCGTTTTCGGGTTTTCATCTGAACGTATCTCCTGTACAAATAAATGTCATTATTATTTTACCAATGACCGTTATATTGTTTTTTCACTCTCGTGGTTTGTTTCTAGGTTTTGATTGACCATGTCAAAAATTTTGATAGGGCCTATGAATTTGCTGAACGTTGTAATGATCCACCTGTCTGATTTCTGACATGTATATGTTCAATAGAGTTTCAGGCATTTGAAAAGATCTTCAAAAGTCCTGAAGTTACGTTCCTGAAACGATTTTATGACCTGACTTTAGATACTTCTAGAGTGTCGTTATCCTTTTCGAGTAAGAGTAGAAACATTAAATTTCCATTCTTTGAAGGGTTCAAATAATCCTGGGAGTTCGAGTGGAAAGTTTTACCGTATAAGTGGCATAAAATAAGCTTCAATGTTACCACTTTGACTGAAACTGGTATCTTTTGAGTATAAAGATCGTACGGACAAAATTATTGTCAAGCCCTCTTTATCTATAACACCTTCACAATCAATGTCAACCTGATCATGCCCGTTAATCAGCATGCATTGCATACCATTTCTAGAACATGCTATCGTTATTTTCATTCATATTTAACATCACAGTTACTACAAATAACTCGTCTATTCAGTCGTTTCAAACTCTTCACTCTTAGCATTTTCTTACTCTGGACTAGCACTACCAAATAAGCCACTATCTGGTGGTATGAAATCTATCTGACACAGTAAGTTCATCGTCCAGTACAATCGAAAGAAAAGGAAAACACGCAAATAAGCCTAAAAAAGTATTCCATGTGTATGGAAGCCGGAATTTCGGAAGTAAATCCAACGACAGGAAACAAGTTTTGAGGAGGTAGATGGTTTAAACAAACTCAGATTCAGATTTGTGTAGTAAAGACAGAAGGCCTACGACCTATGTTATTCCTTTTCTAGTATGCTTCTGTGAGTGTCCAGTCTTCTCTTGAAAGAGTCAATTGAAGGTGCGGACACCACTACTTCAGGCTACAGGTTCCAAGTATTGATGACGCGGTGTGAAAACCTGTATGCCACGGGTATTTTGTTCGTTCTTGGCTTTTCTACTCGCCTGCTATGTCCTCTAAGGTGTCCCGATCCAGTGGGAAGAAAGAGAGAGAATAAGTTAAGTCCGAAATCATTTCTCAGTATTCTGTACATCAAAATTAGATCTCCCTTTAGTCTGCGGTAGGACAGAGTAAAGAGTTCCAGTTTTTCGAGCCGCTCTTTGTATGATAAACCCCGGAGTTCCGGAATTGCACGAGTAGCTGCTCTCTGTACCTTTTCTAGGATATCCGAGTCACCTTTTAAACAGGGGCTTGCAGCCTGAACACAGTTCTCTAACTTAGTTCTCACTAAGGATGTGTATAATGTGGTGAACATGGTAGTATCAAACTTAATGAATGTCCTTTTTAAAGCCCAGAGGGTTCGAAACTTTATAACTGCGACCTCCCGGCAATGGGCCGTCGTCTTAAGATCATTACTCACTGTCACCCCTAGATCCTTATGAGGCCGACCCACGGGAAATGGCACTTCCACTATGTTGTACCTATTACCGTTGTAATCCCCAAAGTGCATGTAGACACACTTTACCGCGTTTATAGGCATCAGCCACTCTTTAGATCGGTTGATCATAATTTTTAAGTCTACTTAAAGAGCACATGCGTCTGTGGCTCCAATTATTACTTGCCAGATCTTTACGTCGAAAGCGTATAATAACATTGGAGACTGTACTATATTTGCAAGATCATTAACATACATTACAAAAAGTGAAGGACGTAGGACGGAACCTTGAGGTACCCCACTAAGTACTGGTCTCCAGATGGAGCACTTGGAATTCATTAAAACTTTCTGTTTACGACCTACTAGGAAATCCTTAATCCATTTTGAAAGAGGTCCGGCAATACCAAGGTTTATCAACTTCTATAGCAGTCTATTTGTTGGCACCTTGTCAAAATTCTTGCTGAAGTCTTTATCCAGAACTACCTTGCTGTAAGGAGGTTTGATGTACAATATAGACCCTTTCTAAAACCATGTTGTTCTATATTTAGCAACTTGTTTGTTTTCATAAATGCCATTATGGTCCGTTTGATTATTCTTTCCAATATTTTAACTACAACACTGGTGAAGCTTACGAGTCTGTAATTCGATGGAACTTGTCGTGGACCTGTTTTATGTATTAGAGTGACGATTGCGTCCTTCCATTCCATAGGTAGCACACCTTGGTCAAGTGGCATATTGAATATCACAGTCAGTGGTGTCGCAATATATTGTGCAATATGTCTCAAGATTTTGGGGTGTAGTTCATCTGGTCCTGTTGACTTCTCCATATTTAATGTGCTAAGAGCCCTAAGCACATCTTTTTGTCGAAGTCCACGATGAGCAGCTGGTTTGTTGACTCTGTATTTGGGTCTGGTTCTTTCTCTAAAGGAGGTTTCTGAGTGAAAATCTGCCCCAAAATATTCAGCCATAGCCTCTGCTTTTTCCTGATCTTCCTCTATCATTTCAGATTCACTCCGTTCTTAATTTATGTTGGGAATCCAATGATGCATCCTTGTTCTGCAGTTTATGTACGAGAATATTCTCCTGGGCTGCTTGAGTGCAGATTGTGCCAGCTGCATTTCATATTTTCTTTGAGCTTCCCAAATTTTTGTTATGCACTTGTTTCTTACCGATCTGTAGCGTTCCATCGTGCGAAGGAGGATGGTAACATCCCATCATTTCTTCTTTTTTCTTAATAAAAGTCGAATATCCAGGCCTATCCAGAGATGGCCGTGCTTCGTTTTATTTGAGACAGTCCAGAGTATGTATGGTTGAGTTACCCTATTGTATAACTGCCTGAATAGAGTCCATGCCTCTTGTACTGATGCCTTTGAGTCAATTTCCCAGTTCTCATCCGATGCTGCGGAGTTAATTGCCTGCATATCTGCCTTCCATATGTTACGACGGGCCGGCGCAATTGTTTGACAAGCAATCTCAACCATGAATTTGAATAAGATGACTGCATGGTCACTTCTCCCAAGTGGTGGGAGAAAAGTCGTTTGACCAACGTCATCACCGTGCGTGAAGACTAAATCTAAAATAGAAGACGAGTTTCTTAAGTCGTATCTTGTGGGATCTCTAATGTGTTGGAATAAAGCTAGTCCAATTGAGGTTTCTAACAGTATGGAGTCGAAAGACGATATGGCTGGCCCTACTTCTAAGTTAACCCAGTTTATATATGGTGCATTAAAGTCACCTACTACAAGGCTTTTACCGTTGTTACACCAGGACTTAAGTTTACTTAGGAGAAAATCATCTGCTACACTTTCTGGACTGCGATAAACTACAACTACTTCAATATCTTGCCTTCGGCATTTCAACTTACATCTCACCAGTTCACATGTCCCTGAAACATGTGCTACTGTCTCAGCTAATCCTATGGTTAGGGTACTTTTCGTGTACACAATAACTCCGCCTCCCCTTCGGTTTAATCTATCAGCCCTACTGGTTATGAAACCAGTCAACTGGATTTCATTATCTATTACTTCTGACGTTAACCAAGTTTCCGATACAGCGATAACGTCCGGTTTTTCCTTATCCACCAGTGACTTCAGCTCCGCCATTTTATTTAGTAGGCTGCGAGCATTTCTGTAGCACACTTTTAAGTCTGTGGAGAGCTTTCCCTTGCCACCCAGAGTGGGTTTGGGATCGTTTTGCTCCGAACTTTTACAATCTGAAAATCCTTAAGAACGAGGTATCTTTCACCGTTTCGGCGATGCTCGTTTATTTCCGCTTCTGCAGCTCTTCTCTTAATACGATCAGCTAGGCTGAGATCATCACGCATGTATATTCCGGATCCAATCGGTTTACGTGAGTTACTTAGAATCAGGTTCCTTTCTTCCACCGTGTTGAATGTAACCTTTAGGAGGCGGTTCTTCTGAGGACTTTCGGAATCCACCTTTTTTCCTATTCTATAAAGCTTACAAATACTAACTCCTGAAACTGTATCTGGGAGTAGTTTACTTAATGATGTCTTAATATGACTGAGATCATGTTCAAATCTTGCCTTTGGTTCAGTATCTGAAGATTCTCTTATCTTATGATAAATGACTGATCTATCAGAGAGATCTGTCGTGTCGCGCGGTGAGGATTTTTCTTCTGATAACATCTCTTCCAATGTCTTACTGACCAGTTGCGTTTTGGCTACAGCCTTTTTCTTCTTATTTTTTTCCTTCTTACCGAAGTCCATTTGTCGCCACTCAAAACAGCCACACCTGGACTATGTGGAACGGTGAGAGTTTTACCCGGATCTTCTATTTCGACTAGAAGTGTATGACTGCGAATGTCAATATCAAGCAACACTTCATTCCTCGTTAATGTCAACGGAGATTTTACGTTCCCGTCAACTGCGGTCAAGTGTTTAACGGGTCCAGTAGCAGCACTTACTACACTGACACATTCTTCATCGTCAGTGCTCCTGTTATCAGTGCTTCCGCCACCGTTTTTCTTGCAGGCCAAAGCCAATAAGCCCATAGCCTCCTGTATTAGTACCTTTTTATCCGTACAGCAGAACATACAAAGCCAATGCGAGTTAGGCTTCGAGCAGCTATTATAAGCCGTCGGACTTAGTGGTACTACTTTTTACAATCGTCACACTGCATTCCCTCCTCAACGGAGAACAAACAATTTGGTTGCGCACATTTGTGAGTCCTACCAACCATTGTAATTCGATTTAAGAGGTTTAAAAAACAAAAAATGATAACAATGTGAGCACAAGTGTTAGTCAAGGACTAAAAACAGGTACTCAGGACAATAAATCGGCATGTATACTTTGAAGTGTTTATCAGATCAATGAAGGATCAAGACGTTTTGGTGTTTGTGATCCTCTCTATATACTCCAGCAGCAAATCTTTAGAAATCTGCTATCCTCTTTCTACGTTACTAAGTCTCAGCTATTCAGTAGATTCTGATCAGGCGGGCGTTTCGATTCTCCACGGTACTAAGGGCTAGGATTTTATCTGGTCTCTAATTTTGTTGGCATGTCTTATGTAAGTTCCATATTAATTTTTTAATTTATAGCAAACAGCAGTCTCCACTTCACAATGGAGCTAGTAAGAGAAGTGCTTATCTTGGAAAAGATGGTTTACCAAATCTGGACTCATTAAAGATCCAGTCCAAGGACTCAAATGTTGATAGAGAATTTAAAATTGACTCAGGAGCTCACGTAAACGGTGTAGCTACGGCACTTGCAAATGGAATTTCTTCTGTTGAGGGTTACGTTGGGTACTCTAACTTACCTAACCAGGTTTGCTTGTCGAATTCCGGATGTTTTTCCTAGCGTTAGATTTATCGGAAAGCTGTTCGCAAGGGGTTTGAATTCAACATCCTTGTTGTTGGAGAATCAGGCGTTGGAAAGTCCACGTTCGTGAATTCGCTGTTTCTCAGTGAAGTTTACAACACTGATCACCCTGGCCCATCTAAACGTCAGAGAAAAACTACTTGTGTTCAGTCTCACACAGTTATACTTAAAGTAATATCTAAAGTTACAAAGCATTTTTTACCTTTCAAGGAAAATGGTGTTTATCTGAAGCTCAATTTGATCGATACTCCAGGGTTCGGCGACTGTATAGATAATACTAATTGTTGGCAACCTGTTCTGGATTATATTATTTCGCGCTTCGATGATTACATTTCTGGAGAGAGCCGAGTCAATCGTCCGTGCCAGAGCATCCCAGATCAGCGTATCCATGCATGCATTTACTTTATTGCTCCTACAGGTAGATTTGTTATGCCGAATGTACGCAAAATAAGTCAATCAGTCAGTCAGCTTCAACGTAGGACCAGGCACATATATGCATCGGTCCAAGTTGCCATACCTCATTAACACAACGAGATGGACACCGGATTCATAAAAGTAGTTAATTCAGAGGTGGTAATATATAAAAGAAAGATTGCAATAAGGATGTAGTACAGTAAGAAAGAATTAGTTCGTAGAAAGAAATATATGAAGTGATTTTAATCTCTTAGTTTAAGGGAAGACAGGGAGTGTATACACCGACGCCATTGTGATCGATTCTGAGCCATGTCACCCAGAGTCTCCAATCATTGGTTACGATAGTCACGTGGACCCCAACCAAGTAATCTGCATCTACCAACATGGCTCAGACTAGAAGTTAGTGACTTCAAGCACTAATGCCACGTTTTGGTTTGGCCACCTCTAAATTTCTTCCAACCATCCTGAACACCGGTTAGCATTGCACGTCGTGGTAATCGGTGTTCGGGCATACGTAACACGTGGCCCAACCATCTCATTCGATGAAGATTCACAAGCTCATCAACTGATTTACCATCATTCCTAATATACTGCGTCTAACCTCACTATTACTTACCCGGTGATCCCAGCAATATTTCTAAGGCATCTGTGGTCAAATACTAGTAGCTTACGAGTGTCTTCTACCCTTAAAGGCCATGTTTCGCTGCCGTAAAGTAAGACAGAACGGACTGCCGCGCAGTATACTCGTCCTTTTATTGATAGACGGATATCTCGCCTTCACCATAGGTGACGTAAGTTGGCAAAAGCCAAGCGAACTTTTCGAATCCGTGCTGAGATTTCGTCAGACACCAACCCATTAGGGCTGATCAAACTTCCAAGATAAGTGAAGTTGTCAACGCGTTCGACTACTTCACTCCCTATCCTTAGTTCAGGTGTTGACGCAGACCAGTCCTGAAGCTCACTTACTTACGCCTGTTACTCCCAATGGAGCATAGGCCGCCGACCAGCATTCTCCATCCCACTCTGTCCTGGGCCTCCTTTTCTAATTCCATCCAATTCTTGTTCATCTTTTTCATGTTTATTTCCATTTCTCGGCGTAATGTGTTCTTTGGTTTCCCTCTTTTCCTTTGGCCTTGAGGATTCCATGTGAGGGCTTGTCTTGTGACGCAGTTGGGTGCTTTCCTCAATGTGTGTCCTATCCACTTCCAGCGCTTCTTCCTTATTTCTTCCTCCGCTGGGATCTGGTTTGTTCTCTTCCACAGTAGGTTGTTGCTAATAGTGTCCGGCCAACGGATCTGAAGTATTTTGCGTAGACAACTGTTAATAAACACCTGTATCTTCTGGATGATAGTTTTCGTAGTTCTCTAGTTTTTCACCCTATACAGTAGAACCGTCTTGACATTTGTATTGAAAATCCTGACCTAAGTGTTGGTTGACAGTTGCTTTGAGTTCCAGATGTTCTTCAGTTGTAAATATGCTGCTCTTGCTTTACCGATCCGCGCCTTCACATCTGCATCAGGTTCACCATGTTCATCAATGATGCTGCCCAAATATGTAAAGGTTTTTACAACTTCCAAATCTCCGTCAATCGTGATTGGATCGGTGCATGCTGTGTTGTATCGGTGAACCTTGCTCTTCCCTTTGTGTATATTGAGACCTACTGCTGCTGAGGCTGCTGCTACACTGTTCGTCTTCTGCATTTGTTGTTGCGTTTGGGATAGAAGGGCCAGATCATCTGCGAAGTCCAGATCGTCCAACTGCATCCTAGATGTCCATTGTATCCCGTGCTTCCCTTCAGATGTTGACGTCTTCATGATCCAGTCGATCACCAGAAGAAAGAGAAAGGGTGAGAGTAAGCAACCTTGCCTAACACCGGTCTTCACTTCGAACGACTTTGTCAACTGTCCTCCATGCACGATTTTGCAGTGTAATCCATCATATGAATTTTGCATGATATTGACTGTCTTCTGAGGCACGCCGTAGTGTCGAAGAAGCTTCCATAGTGTTGTTCTGTCCACGCTATCAAATGCCTTTTCGTAGTCAATGAAGTTGATGTAGAGTGATGAATTCCATTCAATTGATTGTTCCACAATGATCCGTAGAGTTGCGATTTGGTCTATACACGATCTATCCTTACGGAATCCTGCCTGTTGATCACGAAGTTTGGCGTCTACGCAGTTCATCCTGTTTAACAATACTCTGTTGAAGACTTTTCCCGGTATTGAGAGAAGAGTGATGCCCCTGTAGTTATCACAGTTGCTGAGATCGCCTTTCTTCGATATTTTGATCAGAAGTCCTTCTTTCCAGTCTTTTGGTACTTGTTCCTCATCCCAAATCTTATTAAAGAGAATGTGGAGTATCCTTGCCGTTGCCGCTACGTCTGCTTTTAGTGCTTCTGCTGGAATGTTGTTCGGTCCTGCTGCTTTGCCACTCTTGATTTGTCTGATGGCCATGCTGATTTCTTCAATTGTCGGTGGGCCAACGTTGATTGGGAGGTCCGTGAGTGCTGCTTCGATGTTGGGTGGGTTCAGTGCAGCTGGTCGATTCAAGAGTTCTTTGAAGTGTTCTACCCACCTGTTTTGTTGCTCTTCAATGTTGGTGATTACCTCGCCTTCCTTGCTTTTCACTGGTCGTTCTGGTTTGCGGCGATTTCCAGAGAGTTTCTTTGTTATGTCATACAGTTGTCTCATGTTCCCTTCTCTTGCAGCCTTTTCCGCCGTCTTTGCTAGATTTTCCACGTATTTACGTTTGTCGGTTCTGATGCTCTTCTTCACTTGTTTGTTGACTACTGTGTATTCAGCTTGTGCCTTGGCTTTTTCTGCTCTTGTTCGACTGGTATTGATTGCTGCCTTCTTGTTCCTTCTTTCTTGAATCTTATCCAGTTTATCAACAGTGATCCATTCCTTGTGATGGTGCTTCTTGTGATCCAGGACCTCATGACATGTTGAAGTGATTGCCTCTTTGATCCCCTTCCCGTTGCTCTCCACAGTAGTTCCTTCTCCATTGAGTAGATCATGAAAGACCTGGAACTTGTTGCTGAGGTCTATCTTGAATTTGTTGAGTTTGTTAGTATCCTGAAGAAAGGCCGTATTGAACTTTTGTGATATTGTCCGCTCCATTGTCCAGTGCTTCTTGAGTTTCAATTTCATCTTGGTGATCAGCAAGTGATGATCTGATGATATATCAGCTCCTTTCTTGGTTCTCACGTCCTCTATAGTTCTCCTGAACTTTATATTGGTGCAGATATGGTCGATTTGGTTTTGTGTAGTGTGATACGGTGAAGTCCATGTGGTTTTGTGAATGCGTTTATGTGGGAATATGGTGCCGCCTATGACCAGTTTATTGAAAGCAGATAGGTTAGCAAATTTTTCACCATTTTCGTTTCTTTCTCCCATTCCTTGTCGTCCCATGATGTCTTCTTATCCAGTGTTGTTCATTCCAACCTTGGCATTGAAATCTCCCATCAGAATGGTCAGGTCCTTTGTTGGGCACTTCTCGATGATTGACTGCAACCTATCGTAAAATTGATCTTTAGCGTCTTCATTGTAGTCGTTGGTAGGTGCATAGCATTGAATTATGTTCATTGAAATGCCCTCTTTTTTGTTTTGAATGAGACTTTGATGATCCTTGGTCCATGAGATTCCCATCCTATAAGCGCATTTTGCGCTTGTTTGGACAGCATCAATGCGACTCATTGTATATGTGGGGCATTTTCTTCTTCATGGCCGGAGTATAACAGAAGCTCTCCTGAAGTTAGTCGTTTTTGTCCAACTTGCGTCCAATGTGTTTCACTGATCCCAAGTAACTCTAGGTTGTATCTCCTCATTTCTGCAGCAATTTGGAAGGCTCTCCCGGTGTCCCACATTGTACGAACATTCCATGTACCTAAATAAATGGTCGCTCTGGTTTTCAGAAGGGGCATCGGCCTCGTAACTTCCGAAGTAATTCGGCTTTCATCATGAGGCGTCATAGTTCTTCTAAATGAAGACCTTCTGACAGAGGTTGAAAGGTTTGAATAAATTTTTCAAGTTAGCGTTTTTTAGCGAGCTAGATTTCTACGGGATGGGGACGCTAACACCATGCCCAACCCTCCTCCTTTATCCGGGCTTGGGACCGGCAGTAGCCCCCAGAGGGACTCCAGACGGAGTTAGTCCTGAAGCAGCAGCTTGCATTTAAAGGGAGAGAAGCGCATTCCAAACATTCTGGCATTGTTGCTTAGTGCTACCAGAAGACTGCATTTTAACACCGTCTTAACCAAACAGGACGATATCATCTGCGTATTCTAAGTCGATAAGTGGACCTCCTGGAAGGAGATCAATACCCGAGAATTCAGTAGACGAGAATGTTATTTCCATCAATAGGTCTATGATGAAGTTAAACAAAAATGGAGAAAGTGGATAACCTTGAATGACACCACTTGAGGTTGCGAAAGAAGATGACAGTTCGCCATAAGCTCTGACTCGACTGTTAGTGTTCGAGTAAAGAGCCTTCACAAGGTTTATGTACTTCTGTGGTACACTTTTCAATGACAGACACTGCCACAGAATCTCGCGGTCTACCGAGACAGATGCGGCTTTTAAGTCAAGAAAGACCACCATTGTCGAACGGCGATAAGTATGCCTATGTTCTAGAACCTGACGAATGGTGAATATGTGGTCGATGCAGCCACGACCAGGTCTGAAGCCAGCTTGATTCTCTCGTGTTTGCAGTTCACGAGCCTTAGTTAGGCGTCTGATAATTATCGAGTCTAGTATTTTAGATACTATATTAGTTAAACTAATCCCTCTACGGTTGTCACAGGATGATTTTAACCCTCTCTTATGTATTGGGACGATAAGTGATTGTGACCAGTCAGATGGAATAACGTCTAACTCCCAGATCTTAGCTAAAATATTAGTCAACCTAACCGCTAAAATTGGACCACCATCCTTAAAGACCTCTGGAGTCAATCCATCTGGACCAGCTGCCCTTCCTCGTTTCATATTAATTATAGCCTTTTGAACTTCTGCTAGAGTTGGGGGACCTACTTCAATGTTCCATTCATACTATCTGGGAATGGAGGGTAGTTGTAGAGTAGCTGAAGGCCAGCTGAACTGTTCTCTGAAATATTCCGCCCATCGTTCTAAACGTCTGCACTGAGAGTAGATGAGGGTGTCATCTTTTTCCGAAATAGTCTGACTTACACTTGACTTATTAATTCCAGTTTCTTTTATTAGTCTGTAGAGCTGTCTTGTGTTCCCTATAGCCGCTGCCTTTTCCATCTCTTTCGCTTTCGTTGCCCACCACTGCTCACGGTGGTTCCTTAGACTTTTGGTTAACCAAGATTTGATTTGCTGTCGCTCTTCATCGTGTTCAGAGCCTGATGGGATGAGTTTACGAGAATCAATCAGTGCAAAAGACCTTGAGGAAATCCATTGGTTCTTTGTAACCCTGTGATTTAAATCACTGATAGATGTCACTGCTGTTTCCACAGCTGTTTGTATAGTTTTCCAAGCAACATCTGGGTCAGTCTCGTTTTTAGAACTATCTAATTGTGACCTCAGTTGTTCCTGGAACCTACTTTTGGTTTCCTCGCTACTCAATTCAGTTCTAATGGGTCTTTTTACTGTGGCTTTTTTGCGTCCAGTGAGGCGCAAGCAGTTGCGTGCCCGTATTAGAGCATGGTCGGAGTCCAAGCATGTACTCCAGAATGAGCGACAATCTTCTACCGACCCTCTCCAACGATGACTGATGGCAATATGGTCTATTTGAGTCCATCGTTGGTTTGGTGTAGGGGGTCGCCATGTTAGATGATATCTCTCCTTATGCCTAAAATTCGTGTTTTTTGCTAAAAATAAACGATTGTATGAGCATAGTTGCAGCAGACGATCACCATTATCTGTTCGTTGTACCGGAATACTAAAATACCCACCTAAATGCCTTTATGTTTGGTTTAGACTACCTATCTGGGCATTAAAGTCACCTGCTACGAGTACTATGTCTGAACGTTTAGCTTTCTGAAGAAGTTCAGATAGCTTTCTTTAAAATTCATCTTTCACTTCATCTGAGCTGCAGTCGGTGGGAGCGTAGGCAGAAACGACAAAAAGGCAACGACGTGTGTCCCTATCCTTCCGAGTTCTTACGGAGCCGTTAAGCCGAACAGCACATAAACGACTGGTAACGGGGACCCACAATGACAGTGCTTGTTCGGCCCTCGTGCCTAGTGCTATCCCTACTCCTGCCAGTCCACGAGAACTGGCCATCGGGTCCCCAGATACACAGAGAGTGTATCTCGTTGGCTCTCCGTTTTGCCGAGGTGAGGTCAAGTGAGTAACCACGCTGGAATCCTGTATGTGTGTTTCGGAGACACAGCACACATCAAGGGTAAGAGATTCTAGGGTTTTAGCCAAGGAAGCCTGTTGACCGATTTGACATAGGGTGCGTACGTTGAAGGCTTCAATGTGTAGTTTGGAGCGAGGTTTCAGTAGACCTGAGACAGTGTTTTGAGCACTAGAATCGTTGGCTATGGTGACACTTGAGAGGGAAGCCGAAAAAGGAAGTTTAGAGGTGAAAGTCGATGTAGGAGAAATAATAGGGATTGAAGAGGGAGGTTGACTATGAATACAGTGGTCTTGAGTGCTGTTAGAGGTATGAGGGCGGTTATCACTTCCCGGTTGCCCACACCGTGGAAGGGTTGTTCTGGAGGTACCTGAAAGGGAAATTGGATTACAGGTGGTCTTAGTGACCTTTGAGCGTGACTGCGATGCCCAAGGGACAACTGCTTGAAGTCTGTCACACACGACCTTTTTATGGGTAATTTTTGTGCTAGCTCCGTACTTATTGAGACCTTACCGCCGAAGACGGATATCCATGGGATAAGGCGAGGTGTGCATTTCTAGGGTCGACCTTTTCTAACCACACCCCTACTTATGGGAAGGCAGCATCGCTGTCATGCTGGTTGTCTGAAGGAAACGCCTTACTGCTGTCACACCGTCGTACAGTCGGCAGTACGACTTCGCCTTCGGATCTTGGGTTTGTTGCTTTTAGTTTTACCGCTCTTCAACCGACCTTTCTGACATGATAGGACCTTCAGGAACGGTTGTTCCAGCCAGTATAGCTCGGTTGCTTTATCACGACAGACAAGCACGACCACCACGTCAAGGTAGCAACAACGGTCAGGCAAAATAATCATGTTATTTATCTAGTTATTCAAACTCATGAATGTTGGTGCAATGTGGCACCAAATATATATGCACCATACAAAGTATTCGGTTTGTATGAATGCTGGAATACTGCCCAGTCTCTCAAATTGAAGTATGTAGTTTTCTTGGAGGGTTACAGCCCGAGTTTTTAACCTAGAGGTTCAATCCACAAGACAGTGGAGCAACATTGAGAGGTGCAGTCCCATGGTAGCCGGTGACCAACATTAGGTTCATACGGCATTTGTTCCCTCATGATACTGAAGCCCATGTACACCAGTGATTTGTAATCAGGGTTTTCCAACTCCTTTAGGTGGATCCTCCATATCCACCAACCTAGTTAAAGCCTCGGACATTCGTTTTTCGTCCTCAATTCCGTAAAAAACAGTAATGCCGTGAGAATGTAGTGAGTAGGACTTCCCTGACAGTGATTGTATGCACGTGGCCATATGAGAGCATTTTGAGAGGTAGAGTGGACTCTCCTCACGCTTGACCGTACCAGGCGTTCTAGAATTGATGATTCATGTTAATGTATTGATATACTTAAAGTACCCTGTTACTTCCACAAACTTATAAGTTATTCGTGTGGTTGGAGACAAACTGATGTCCAGCTTTTTCAGACATATCAGTCAATATACCAGTTTTGAATAATTAATATCACTGCACAAATTCGTCTGGTTAAATATAAACCTAAAGAGTTTTATTGATGGGGTTAGTTTTCAGAATTGCAAATTTTTGTCACATTTTTTGGTTAGGTTATCTTTTCGTTTGTATTTCTAAGCTTGGTAAATTAACTTGGCGAGTGTTTAAAATTTGCGTTTTTCACAATAATATGTCTTAAAGTAATTCATTTGAGTAAAAAATTCATTGATAAATCATAAAATGTTTGGATAGGCATACTTCTGTTCTGAGTTTTTATCAATCAACAACTTTCGGTCAAGTTTTGCCTGTCTTTCGGAGCACCCCACAAATTCAGAATGTGTTCGAAATTGATCTATCCATTAAAGTCAAACTCAAAATTCTATGGAGTTGTGGACTATTTTGCGACATTTTCCGGCTGGTTGGTTATTTTACTCCGGTTACACAGTTTTTTTTTCAGAACTTATTTGAATATTGGTTACTGAGTTATATAGACCAGTTTCAACTCCATAAGTTAACCCAGGTTGCCTTTTGCTGTCTGCTTAAAGACAGGCAAAGATAGAATTCCATTCAGTTCATCCGACTTGTTGTTAATGGTACTTTATAGAACCAAACCAACATTGTTTTTATACTATACTTCACACTAAATTGGAAGGTTTCTTCATGCCTGTCGTACCCAATGCGTTCCATGAGAATGTTAGAAAGCATAACTTATCTTGTTACTTAAGTAGTTAGAGTTAATTTCTAAAGCCCTTATATTTTTCAGGTTATCCAGGTTTTTCGAATAAAACGTAATGCAAATCAACACATTAAATATGAAGAAATCAGTTGCATTTATTTGAAGTACTGACGTAGTCAAGTTGTTCATTGTTTCTATAATTTTATTCATATAAAAGAACTCTGAAAATCGATCATACTATCTTTTTATTGAAATCTCAATGAGTTTGACTTTATTATCAAAGACTAAAGCTTCAATGTTTATCACTTTTTTTCCAGGTCATTCACTGAAACCATTGGATCTAGAATTCCTGTCACGCATACAAGATAAGGTTAACGTAATTCCCGTGATCGCTAAAGCTGACACATTGACTCCAGAAGAATGTCGTGAATTCAAGAAAACAATACTAAGTGACTTAGCATCTAGAAAGATACGCGTATTCGAGTTTTTCGACCCACCTGAATGCTCAGGTAATTATGTTAGTGTCTTTATTTTCAACTGTTGATTTGTACTCAGAATATCTTCTCGAGACTGAATGATCTGTTTACCAATATTTATATCCATACCACTGCTGTGTCGTTTTGTGAATATCATAACAGGTACCTAACTAAGTTTGCTTGTACATTTATGTCTATAAAAATATCTCAGAATTCCTCGGGTACTACTTAGGCTGGTATTTTCAGAAGGATGTTTTTGGGGTACAAAACGTTACTTCGTTTGGATTTTCACGCAATAATCATTTATTTAAAAATCAAAGTGGGATCTGACATACACATCGCTTTAAGTTACCACATCACATAAGTACGGTGAGCTAGAATTGCTTCAAGATAGGTTTCAGAGTAATAGAGGTGATAACAATATCAGTTGTAGTGGTAAAAATGTAAGTAAAGAACAGGAAAAAATGTATAGGGAGATTTCGGGGTCTAGATTCTTAAGGAAAACAAGTAACAACTGCACCTCTGCTATTGCGAATGGCTCTGAGATGTGTCACTTATCATCTCTAACCATTGATGACAAGTTACAAGGACTTCAACCAGGTGGTCTACACCTTCAAACTTGACTCGGTTTAACTGTCAGTGACTTCGTTTGGCCTCTTTTAACTTTATTTCAATCTACTCCTGCAACGGACAACATCGCCCCCAGGTGGTAGGTGGTTGGGCATACGTGAAATATGTCCCAACCACCTCAGTTTGTGAAGATTTACTACATCAATCAATTTGCCATCTTAACCTAATAGCCTATGCCTAATCTCGGCATTACTTACCCAGTAGTCTCAAAATACACAAGGAACACTCCGAAGACACTTGTGATCGAATAATAGTAAGATACGAATATCCTCTACTCAATGGCCATGTTTCACATTCATACAAGAGAACAGAGCGAACTGCTGAGTAGTGAACTCGACCTTTGGTTGCCAGATAGATGTCTCACTTACGCCACAAGTGATGCTAGTTGGCGAAAGCCAATTGGGCTTTCTGAATCTGTGCCGATATTTTGTCAGATACCAGTCCATCGGGACTGATGACTCCCAAGGTAAGTAAAGCGGTCTATAGGCTCAAAGATTTGACTCTCTATCATTAGTTCAGACGCTGATGCAGGTTAGTTCTGAAACAAAATTTAGCATCTTAAGGTTGCGAATCACATCTCAAACATCCAATGCCAACCTAATAGTTGTAAGCTAATTAGGAGTATATATGTAATTTTATCGTTATCTGTGAAAAAGTAGATTTAGATTTAAGAAGGATGATAAATCAAATCAATCAGTTTGCATAAGTATAAAAAGAGAAAAACCTAAATACGTACTACTAGACGAGCCCATCATATAAGTATTACCCCCCTAAAAATCATCTTACAATAAAAAAATGAGAGCGTTATTGTTTGATTGTTTTTTGGGTTCAAATTAAGAAAGTCAATACTGAGGTTGGGCAATGGATCTAAAATTAATTGACTTTAAGGTTTTCCCGTTACATTCTGTTCGCATGAACTGCGTGCCGAATATGACCACATCATATTCAGCAGTATTCAACCCATGCATTTGACTCAGTATTAACACTTCTCAATCATCTGATTTGGCGAATGAAAATATTTTTTATAATACAGTCTTCACAAATCAGCTTTAGTTGGGGATCATGTTTTCTACTCAACCGTTTTTTATAGAAACCCTTTTTTGAGATAAATATCTGTTTGTTATAGTTGTGATTTTTTATATAGCGGATGTTTAAAATATTTTTTATTTCTCGCGTATATTACGATAATACATTAATAAGGTTAATTACGTTATATCAGAACTAAGATTCACGAGCCAAAATAGAAAACTAGATTAACACTAGATAATACTTTATTCAATAAAAGCAGTCACACTCAATGAGTCCGGAGTAGAAATCAATGATAGGAAGAAAAATCACATATTTAATAGCCCGTAGGCTGTGGTTTTTTGTCCATGCTCAACGACCAATTATTATTTTATTTCCACTAATACACATCATTTTTCCTTTTACTTAAGTGTAATTTACTTCGTTTTATGGGGACTATTTATATTGTTCTCAGAATTTATAAAATCATTTTTGGTACATAAAAATGTCACATTTTTCAGTATACCGACTTTTCTGTTCCAAATAGATCGGAGCAACGATGAGGAATTAGTTAAACTACGGCGACTACGTGATAGGGTTCCCTTTGCTATTGTCGGAGCTAATACACTGATTACTAATAATGCTGGAGTTCGGGTTCGGGCACGTTCTTATCCTTGGGGTATCGTCGAGGTTGAAAACATGGATCATAATGATTTTGCTGCCATACGATATCTTTTGTTAAGCGTTTACATGCAGGTGGGTTTTAAAAAAGACTTTCAAAAATTCTTAGGCGTTTGATATACTTAAGGATTTGATGTGTATTCTCAAAGTAGATTGTATCATGTATGACGGATTGATAAATACGTTTTTTGTTTAATGTCTTTTGTCATTTACGGTTTATGGTTAGAGCTTATACACCCAAATAAGTCTTGCTTTTAGTTATGCTTATAGTCAGATCATGATTATAAATGTATTTTCAAAAAACAAGCGTTAAGCCTGGTGTAAATAGGATTGAGTTTCAGTTTCCTGGAGTTTTTCAATAAGACATTATTTCCATTTTTCCACTTGACGTGGAACATGACAACCATGTTTTGTTTGTTTTTCTATCGAATTGGTCATTCTTGCAGTGTAAAATTTTGAAATACTATAAACTATCAATAAACAAGCTGCTACTACAACTACATTGATATCCCCATACGGAATTACCTCACCTTTATCACTTTAGAAATATTATTCTTATTCTTGTCTAATAGTAGATCTGTTAAATACAATGGATCACACCAAACATTGAATTGTGCGTTCTGATCGATGCTTAATGACTATTTCATTGAATTTAGTTTATTAACAATGGCAGTTAAATGTAAGCACATGAAATTTGATTATGAACGGTTGACTAATTTTAGGTTGTTTGTTGTAATGATTATCTTTTCCATTTGGTAGACATTTTACTTCAAATTGTTTTCAAATCGATTTCCACATGTTAGTGGAAATCGATACTTTGTTTAAATCATTTTTAGTTTGAAATTGGTTTACAATCTAGTTTGACTTTATTTTCACTACAATGAAAAGTGGAGTAATGCTAGAAAACCCTTATGGTTTTATAAACCCAAATTTTATTATCCAGTAAGTACTTTTTGAATTCTATCAAGAAGAGTGACTTAAGTGTATACGTTAGTCTTTTAACTACTATCCTATACCGTGCCGCCTAGTGTTCTAAGATTCTGTCATATAATATAATGATATAAATCTTTATAATTTGGTGTTTTGATTCTTGTTTGCTTGAATACAATACTTTCGCGTAACTATTTTCCTCTGGGATTTCTCTTTTCTCACTTCTCGCTAATGGATTAAGGGCTAACTTAAGTCCCATGTGTCAATGTTGCTAATGTGTGGCGACCATATCCAAGTGATTACTTTCTCCTATGCTTTTTTAATCTTTGTATTTTAAGACTATCATCAATAATTATAAAACCATAAAAATCAAAATTTTTCTACTTATTTCCTTTGATCTTAGTTATCAGTCTTGATGTTAAAATATGACTTATAATTCGAAAAGATTAGATTAGTCAAACTAAGACCCACCGATAAATTCAGTGATCATTGGTGTAAACTATATGATTGATCCATATGGGATCTTTAAAATGTTAAAGATCAGTAGTTAGTTTGTTTCTTAGTTATTCATCTCATTATTGTATTAATTACTTCATTTTCTTTACTGTCGACTAATTCCCTTCTGTTCTGTTATGATGCATAACCGTTTAGACCTCTACAATTTATATCTGTTCTTCTGTTCTTATGGTATCGACTCATTGGTAATCACTAACAATTGGTTACAAAATAATTTATAATTAATCGCCATTTGGTTTCTTTCACCGATATACTTACTTACTTACTTACGCCTGTTACTCCTCGTGAAGGAGCATAGGCCGCTCACCAGCATTCTCCATCCAACCCTGTCCTGGGCAATCCTTTCTAGCTCCGTCCAGTTGTAATTCATCGTTTTCTTATCTGCTTCTATTATCCGACGCAATGTGTTCTTTGGCCTTCCTCTTTTTCGCTTCCCTTCAGGATTCCAAGTTAGGGCTTGCCTCGTGATGCAGTTTGACGATTTGCGTAATGTATGTCCTATCCATTTCCATCGTCTTTTCCTAATTTCCTCTTCAGCTGGAAGTTGGTTTGTTCTCTCCCACAGAAGGCTATTGCTGATGGTATCCGGCCAATGGATGTTGAGTATCTTGCGTAGACAACTATTTATAAATACTTGTACCTTCTTGATGGTGGTTGTTGTAGTTCTCCAAGTTTCAGCTCCATACAGTAGAACTGCCTTGACGTTGGTATTGAAGATTCTCACTTTGATATTGGTTGAAAGTTGTTTTGAGTTCCATATGCTCTTTAACTGTAGGAATGCTGTCCTTGCTTTGCCAATCCTTGCCTTTACGTCTGCATCTGAACCTCCTTGTTCATCGATGATGCTTCCTAGGTATGTGAAGGACTCTACATTTTCCAGAGTTTCGCCATCAAGAGTGATTGGATTGTTGTTTTCCGCTTTGAATTTGAGGACTTTGGTTTTCCCTTTGTGTATGCTGAGGCCTACTGATAAAGAGACTGCTGCTACACTGGCTCTCTTCATCTGCATCTGTTCGTGTGTACGTGATAGGAGGGCTAGGTCATCTGCGAAGTTCAAATCGTCTAATTGATTTCGAGCTGTCCATTGAATTCCGTATTTTCCTTCAGATGTCGAGGTCTTCATAATCCAGTCGACCACCAGAAGAAAGAGGAAGGGAGAGAGTAAACAGCCTTGTCTGACTCCGGTCCTTACTTGGAATACATCTGTCAGCTGTCCTCCATGCACGACTTTGCACTGTAGTCCGTCGTATGAGTTCCGGATAATGTTGACAATCTTCTCCGGAACTCCGTAGTGTCGAAGAAGTTTCCATAACGTCCTCCTATCCACACTGTCGAATGCTTTTTCATAATCAATGAAGTTGATGTATAGTGATGAGTTCCACTCAACTGATTGTTCGACGATGATCCGTAGTGTTGCAATTTGGTCTGTGCATGATCGATCCTTACGGAATCCAGCTTGTTGATCTCGAAGTTGGGCGTCTACTGCATCTTTCATCCGGTTCAGCAACACTCTGTTGAAGACCTTCCCTGGTATTGACAGCAGTGTAATGCCTCTATAGTTTTCACATTTGCTCAGATCTCCTTTCTTTGGAATCTTGACGAGGTGCCCTTCTTTCCAGTCCATCCGCACTTGTTCCTCCTCCCAAATCTTTTTGAATAGAAGATAAAGCATGTTTGTAGTTGCTTCGATGTCTGACCAGTGCTTCAGCTGGTATGTTGTCCGGACCCGCTGCTTTCCCGTTCTTGATTTGTCTGACGGCCATTCTGATTTCTTCCTTCGTTGGTGGGTTGACGTCTATGGGAAGATCTGTGTGTGCCGCTTCGATGTCCGGTGGATTCATTGGAGTCGGTCTATTCAGTAGTTCCTCGAAGTATTCTACCCATCTGTTCCGCTGTTGTTGAATTTCGGTGATTGGCTTGCCTTCTTTGTCTTTGACCGGTCTCTCTGGTTTACTGTATTTCCCTGCTAGTTTCTTCGTTGTATCGTGAAGCTGTTTCATATTTCCTTCCCTAGCAGCTTTTTCCGCCGTCGTTGCTAGTTCTTCCACATATTTCTTCTTGTTGGCTCTAATGCTCCTCTTCACTTGTTTGTTTGCTTCTATGTATTCAGCTTGTGCTTGGACTTTTTCTGCTCGTGTTCGGCTGTTGATTATTGCTGCCTTCTTGTTCTTCCTTTCTTTGATCTTGTTCAGTGTTTCTGTAGAGATCCATTCCTTATGATGGTATTTCTTTAGACCCAGAATCTCTAGACACGTTGAAGTTAATGCTTCCTTGATGCCTTTCCAGTTGTCCTCCATACTAGTTTCTTCTTCCTTCCGTAGATCTTGTAAGACTTGGAACCTGTTGTTGAGAGCTATCTTGAATTCATTGAGTTTGTCAGTATCGCGAAGGAAGGCTGTATTGAACCTTTGTATTGCTGTTTGTCCACTTGTCCAGTTCTTTTTTAGCTTCAGTTTTAAATTGGCCACAACTAGGTGGTGATCTGAAGCTACGTCAGCACCTCTCCTGGTTCTCACATCTTCCATTGTCCTTCTGAATTTTTTGTTGATGCCAATATGATCTATTTGGTTCTCTGTAGTGTGGTCCGGTGAGATCCATGTAGCCTTGTGTATACGCTTGTGTGGAAATATTGTGCCTCCTATGACCAATTTGTTGAATGCACACAGATTTGCAAATCTTTCTCCATTTTCGATTTTTGAAGAAATAAATCGTATAATAGCTTTATATACTTTACACACACTTTCATACAATGACTGACTATAAAAATTTTTATCTGCCTTAATATTGATAAATGAAGCAAGGTTTGATCTTATTTCATAATCTTTAAAAGCAGGATGCATAATTGTATCAAGCAATAAAAGTAACAACAAGATAAAATAATTCGGTAGTCCTGGATTTTCAGTCTGTTTAAATTTATAGTTATTAACTTGAAAATGATGAATTTCTTTTGTTTAAGAAAACTACATTGTAACGTTTAATATTTTTAAAGGGTGAATAAAACAGATTTTTTTTTGATAATAAATCCAATCAAACTTTGTTATTTACTGCTAATGACGTATGAAAATTTCACTAAAAACTACAACTACTCTACCTAACTTTTATGATACCATGGAATACATTTCGGTAGAAACAATAATAAGGGTGAATATTCTTAGCGCCGACTACGGTAAATAGTGACCATAACTAAACTCCTCTTATTGTTTAACTACCGGTAATCCTGTGGAAGAGTCAAATATTGACTAAGGAGTTTACTGAGCTTAACAAAAACTGTAGGATTATTAATAATAGTATTTATGATCTTGTTGCATATGGTTTGTAATACAATTATTATCCCAACATTTTATTTACACTTTCGATGTTTGCTGTTAACCGGTCAGTATTGTTTGTTTATTTTGTGATTAGGAATTACGTGATGTGACTCATAATGTTCATTATGAAAATTATCGAAATGCCAAACTTTCAGGCATTGCTTTGGAGAGCCACTTTCAAACACGTGATGGTAAAGATCCAATGGCTCTCATGGAAGCTGAGAAAAAAGAGCATGAAGCCAAAATGCGTAAAATGGAAGCAGAAATGGAAGCTGTATTCGACCAGAAAGTAAGTTAAATTTAAACACGATCGATTTTACGATCCTGTACCTCGGTTAAAATAGCTTCAGATAAGTACTTTGCGCCAATATTAATATATGAAATGTTATCCAACATATACAAATAGATTTCTATATTCATAGTTGGTCTTTTATAGTAATCATGGTATCTTAAATACTAATTTTATGCACAAGATGTCAGAACAAAGTATACTTATCAGTGGCAAGTAAAGTACTTTATTTATTTGAACACATAAACATTGGTATAGGGGAGCATCAAAATACATATGTGCCATACAATATAAATCAGGCCAAAAGTAGTTATTATTGATTTGTGTGAGGGCAGTGATACTGCCCGAGTGCCCAAACCGAAACATGTGACTTTCGTCCGCGGTCACACTCCTGACAGTGGAGTGACATTGATAGATGCAGTCCCATGGTAGCCGGTGACCAACATTAGGTTCATACGGCATTTGTTCCCTCATGATACTGAAGCCCATGTACACCAGTGATTTGTAATCAGGGTTTTCCAACTCCTTTAGGTGGATCCTCCATATCCACCAACCTAGTTAAAGCCTCGGACATTCGTTTTTCGTCCTCAATTCCGTAAAAAACAGTAATGCCGTGAGAATGTAGTGAGTAGGACTTCCCTGACAGTGATTGTATGCACGTGGCCATATGAGAGCATTTTGAGAGGTAGAGTGGACTCTCCTCACGCTTGACCGTACCAGAGCATTTGGGGGCACTTCTGACTGTTACTCCTCGTAAAGAAGTATAGTCCGCCTACCAGCATTCTACATCGGACTCTGTCCTGGGCTATTCCTTCAAGTTGTTCCCAAGTGCTATTCATTCTTTTGGTGTCTACTTCTGATTTCCGGCGCAGTGCGTTCTTTGGTCTTCCTCCTTTTATTTTCCCTTCACGATTCCAAGTTGGAGTCTGCCTCGTGATGCAGTTTGATAATTTCCACCATGTATCTCCTGTCCACTTCTAGTGTCTTTTCTTAATTAACTATTCAGTTGAAAGTTGGTTTGTTCTTTCCAATAGTAGGCTGTGGCTGATGGTATGCGGCAAATGGACATTGAGTATCTTCCAATTATTTATTTTACTTTAACACATAGATATTGGTAAAAGGAGGCGCCAAATACATATACGCCACACAGATCTCATTTGATATGTGTGAGGGCTGTGATACTGCTTGGATGCCCAAACCTCTACGAGCGGTAACGGGCGTAAGAAAGTAAGTTTGTGCTTCAAGAGACTAAGCTTATTTCATGACTGAATGTGAAATGTTCAGTGTTAATAAGCCGTTCTTGCGTGTAATGTTTTACAGGTGATAAACTGGAAAAACTTATATCTTCGAATACTTCATATGAATTTAAGTAACACGATACGGTTTACCACAACATATGTAACTAGCAAAACATGATTGTCACGCTGATTTCGTTTAAAGACTATGTTACTCATTGTTGTTAATATCAAAGTTTAAAACTTGACCATAACCTTTAAAACAGAGAACATTTCGTTGAGTCAGTAAATAGATATTCACTATTACCAGTTTTCCAGGTGGTGTTACTCCGTAATGAGAGTAATCTCATAAAATTTCTACTAGTGTAATGTGCTTTTCAATATAAACTTCGTAAAAGTTCAAAAAGAATTTATTTTCAGACGCATTCGTACCGTTTTAATTATTGCTCGCTTGATGAATAAAATTCTAGTCGGAAATATGTTACAGCACATATTATTAGTGAAAGTAAAAAAAACAAATAGTGACCTTATTTTTAATGAATATTAACAATAACGGAATATTGTGAGTTCAACCTTAACCTAGATATTGCAACTTCTAACATTGTTTTTCATTTATAAGTTTTAGAATACCGAAATTATTAACTTAATCATGTGAAATAAAATACAGATGAAAAAAAATCATTTCGAAATTTCTGATTTAAAATTACGTTGCATGTAAAATACTATGACAGTAATTTAATAACTCAGCCTGTAGCTCTTCTAGGGTTACTGCTGGTCCTAAACCCGGGTAAAGATTGGGCATGGGGTCAACTACCCTATCCCATAGAAAAAAACTCTGACTAGAATAAAGAACTTAAACTCTACCCTCCGTTTTGAAGGATCTTCATTCAGAAGAATCATAACGCCTCATGATGAAAGTCGAGATTCTTCGGAAGTCACAAGGCTGATGCCCCTTCTAACAACCAGAGCAACAATTAATATAGGTACATGGAATGTCCAGATAATGTGGGATATCAGTAGGACCAGTCCAATAGCTACGGAAATGAGATAGAATCAATTAGATCTAAGCTGAACGGAAAAGGCTAGATTCAAGAGAGGTGTCGCTGTACTCTGTTCACGAAGACAAAAATGCTCCGCACACCCATGGAGTTGCTCTGATGCTGTCCTAAAATGCGCGGAAAGTGTTTTAAAGTTCTAGGTATAAAACTAGATGAGCGTAACTCACTTTAAATATAAGTATTCTTTTTTTACATTTCCATATTAATTAACAAGAAATTTAAAGTAAAACAGATTTTAATCGAACTGCTGTTGCATTATTATGATCAGGACCAAGCAGTGGTTTCGTTTATTTTGATTTCTGTCAATCAAATCGTCCCATTTTCCGTATCATACAACTCCAACTTCTGTTACGTACATGTTTTTTATGTATATTCTATAACTGATTTCTTTAGGATGATTAGGCGTAAAAACGTTTTGTATATTAAACAGACTAATGTTCATGCAGCACAGTTGAGGGGTTTATATGGTAAGTGTATTTATTGCTCATTATTCTATACTACACGCTAACACTTCTGTACTAAAATAATCTTTTTACTCATGGTTTAAAAACTGTATACATTTATTTGCTAATGTTGTGAACTATTTACAAATCCTTCTCTGTATATTCTTTATTTTCATTTTTTATTGACAGTTAGAGGTAGTTATTAACGTTTTGCTGTGTATTACAATAATGATTCTAACAATATAACCTAACTTTTTGTGATAATCTCCACTTTTAATATTTGGTTTTAATTTCATTCTACAATATTGTGTACATTTAAATTCATTATTATCATACGTATATTCAATAGGTTGAAGAAAAAAATCAGAAACTTCGTGAACTAGAATCTGATTTAATGCGACGTGTAGAGCAAATGAGAGAACAATTAAAAGCCCAAGAATTAGAACAAGAAGCTGCTCGACGTGCTTTTGAATTAGAACGTCAAAATTGGGAAGAAAATTGGCGTGAATGGGATATTGGTGCAGAGATTGGGACAAATGGTCCAACACTAGGCCTTGGTGAACGAGTTATGAATGAGGTAATTAAAGAACGTGTAAAAACTGAAAAGAAAAAGAAAGGACTCTTCTAATTTCTTAAAAATTATATTCTTGAACTGGTGAAATAATAGGTTTATTTTGTTCCCTATTGGGATTATATTTCTTCACTATTGCTAAGCTAAATCAATTGAATATAGTATCCGTTTACTATTTACGGTATTTGTGCATTTCTTCAGAATAATTCCTTTGATGTTATAAAATCAGGTATTTTTGACGATCCCCATTTGCATTTACATCACCGGATAATTTTCCTTGTCTTCATTGTTACTGTTGTTTTCGCTGCTGATGCTACTGTTTTTTTCTAGTCCTCATGTTTTCTCTTCGTTCTTGTCGTTGCCACTGTTTTCGTTTTGTACTAAATATTTTGATTTTATCAATGCTGTCGTTTTTATTCCTTTTCCATTATCCGAGTGAAAAAGAATCCATATGAGTATATTATTAATCATTATCTATCAAAAATTATCATTAGTATTAATAATTAATGTTATTACCGAAATATCATTTATTAGTAGGTAGGTATAAATTGTTTGTGACCTCAATCTGTAACGATTTGTTTTTTGCAATGATTAGACTTTATTTCAATTAACTATTACTAATAATGTGTTTTCTAAACGATAAACGTCAAGTCAGTCCATGTTATGATAAGAACAAACAGGTATAATCATGTATCTATCAAACTATCTTTATTTGCATTTTTCTTTACAAATTTATTGCAATCATAAGAACATTTATGTTGACTTATCTGTTTTACTTCATATTTTTATTTGACAATCAAAATTCTCGTGCTTTATTATATTCTTTTCGAAAGGTATGCGAACAACCCATATTTTATAAATATAAGCATCTATATATTAGTGTTTTGTTTTCGTGTCGGTGGGAAAATTGGCCAAGTCAGTAATAGTTCTGTGGTGAGCGATGCTTACACTACCCATAAGCGTTTTGATTGATATATCCACTTCGGGAAATAATAAGTTTAATTCAAGCAAAACAAAGTGGTCTGTAAATGAGGTGTCACGGATGGAATCCAAGGTTCCGTCCCATGAGATATGTATCTGCTAAGCAAAAACAATTTCAGTAACCGATGATCAACCCAAGAGAATAAGTTGAGTTCTAGTCCCAGTCTCTCTGACATCAACAGCAGTTCAACGAGAATGACTGCACTTATCAATAACCTGCATTAGCTGAACTGGAATAAAAGAAACGAAACGAAGATAACAGCAAGTTCTACCCACAAAATGCTTTGTCTTAAGAGGTAAGAGTATTTTGACAATTAGAAGTTTGGAATACTTCCGTTAAAAACAGTTATCAATATCCAAGAACATCCAGTGTTATAAGACTGCTTACGAACAATTTCCATCCAGTTTTAGTTCTTTCATGGCAATAGTAAGTGGCCTAAAAGTCATAAAAATTATGGGAAGGGCCTTACAATCATGGTGGTGATAAGACTGTCAATCAGAAGGATTCCATGACAACGTCGAATCTATTTTTGAAGAATTCTATGTTAACCCTAACGACTGTTTTAAATTCGATTTCCCGGTGTCATACATTTAGGTGCTTGCAATTGTTTACACTCAGATTTAAGATTTAGAGTTATTGACAAATATAAAGAACATCTCATTGAATCACATCCTGCAGATGCCACAAAACATCGTTTCTGATTCGTCTGCGTTCTTTTCCTACTATCATAGCTTCCACAGTCGATAGGCACTGCATCCTCTTACCATAGATATTCAAAGATAAAGCAAATGGTTTTTGATGACATTTGAGTGTTGTAAGAATTACTGAAAGTATTTGGCTGATTAGTAACTGTTATATTGAGTGTTAATAATTTCGCTGTTAAATGCGTTTTATTCAAATTTTGAACTTGTTTGTTTGTACCCTTGATCCCAGACATTTTGTTTTCATAGTGTTCGGCTTGGTGTTTTGGAAGTTTTGCTCCAGAAACATAAAAACTGAGGGTTTATTGTGTAATTGTTATGAAATCAGTATATTGGGATTGATTACTTGTAATTTATGAATAAACTTCGGTTCCTAAACTGGAATTCGATTCTCTTGTTATTTGGGTCGTAAGTTACGAGTAGATCAATTAAAGTGCTTCAACAACTAACCAGGGTAAACTTTGAACATAACATATTAGTCCTGTGAGCGCGTCTATTAATACATTTATAGAATTCATCAAAATGTTCAGTTATGCATACTAGTAAACTTGAGGATGAACAGCCTTATTACGATTTAATTTAATATTAATTCTTCAAATGTTATGTCAAGAGCATAAAAAAGAACTAAGATGGTAGCGGTTTGAGTTTCAAACCGCACACAACAAATATACTAAACACATCTATTATCAGTATTAAATATCTGTACTGTGCATAGCTTTTATGCAACATCTTCAAATACAACACAGTGAACACCAACCCAATCATACTTGATGGACAAGCTCTGGAAGAGGTGATAACTTTCACTTACCTGGTCAGCATAATCGATGAACAAGTAGGATCTGATTCAGACGTAAAGGCAAGGATTGGCAAAGCAAGGGCAGCATTTCTACAATCGAAGAACATATAAAACTCAAAACAACAGTCAGCCAGTATCGAAGTCAGAATATTCAATACGAATATCAGGACAGTTCTACTGTACGGAGCTTAAACTTGGGGAACTACTACAACCATCATCAAAAAGTACAGATACTTATAAACAAATGACTACGCAAGATACTGAATGTCCGTTTGCCGCATACCATCAGCAACAGCCTACTGTTGGAAAGAACAAACCAACTCACAGCCGAATTGTTTGTAATGGTAAATAAATCCCAGAAATCAATAACTTTGTAAGTCTTCGACATTGGATACTGACCACATTCGTTTTATTGGACTCGACCAGCTGAAAACGCTCGGTCATCCATCCGCAGCAGATTACGAGTGGGAACATTGTGTTCAACTTTTCCTACAACCACTAGCCAGTTTAGATCAGTCACTTCTCGATATATTGATAGCCTATCAAATATATCTTCAAACCTCATGGATTTTGACTTTTGATTTCACTGGGTGAACACGATCTAATTATAAAAGATGTTACCGGTTAAATTGTTGTTAAAATCCAAATACTTGTGGCATGTTCAAGTTAATTAAGAAAAAACACTGGAAGTGAACAGGAGATACATGGTGGAAATTATCAAACTGCATCACGAGGCAAACTCCAACTTGGAATCGTGAAGGGAAAATAAAAGGAGGAAGACCAAAGAACGCACTGCGCCGGAAATCGGAAGTAGACACCAAAAGAATGAATAGCACTTGGGAACAACTAGAAAGGACAGCTCAGGTCGGAGTTAGATGTAGAATGACGATGAGCGATCTATGCTCTTGCACGAGGGTTAACTGGTCTAAGTAAGTTAGCATGATTAGCTTGCCAACATTTCGCAGCTACGTTTTGATAGTATTGTGGTCCTGTTTGACAGGACCATAGAGTTTAATAATTTTCCCGCGTTGCGTAAGAAAGGCTTAACTTTTTGAATGTTGTGGTGACAGTTCAGTATTATTTCACTGTCACTACAAACTTCTGTAATGTCAATAACTGACGAAATTCTGAACTGACAACCTGCATAACCTGCGAACTCGTTGATTATGAGCTTATTCTCTTGAATACATCAAAACATAGTAACTCAATGAGTTAAGTGGAAATATTTCAAAACAAACGTATGTGCAAAACACGCAAAAACACTGAATTTCCAAATAACATTCTTCAGGGTATATAATCCGGTTTTTCGCTAGTAACTTAATTTAATATTAGCTCATTTCGATCACAAAAGTTAATTCTAGCAAATGTGTAGTAATGTAAATAAATAACTGCAACGACTCATATCAATACGCAATAAGTGATACTGCGTTACTTAAAGTAATGGATTATAAAGATCTAAGAGTCATAATAAGAAACGACTTCAGAATTCCAAGTAAGTGTAAGGCCGCGGATGCGAAAATCTTCACAATCTCATGGGCTCTTCGTGAGTACATTTATTACTTGGGCAGATAAATATTAAAGGTATAATATCCAACTTTTATGAAATCACGTTTCAAATGTGTGGTTCAGTCATGCAGTCTTTGTTTCCAGTGTGATCTGGATATGCTAGGACAGCTTTCTAACAGCGTGGGACCGAGATTGTGAAAGGTTTCACCAGCCTTTCTTGTAAAGTTAGATTAAGACTCCTTAATTTATTTCCGTTTCAGATGGGGATTTATTTACCGCTACCTCGTCAATTACTGGAGCTGAAATGGTGATATAAGTCTATCTTATCGTATAGTGAATGACGGTCTCGGTATTGACATGTCTTATATTTCTCCTTCTATCTAGGACTGATGATTGTATGTAAGTCCAAGAACCATGACAAAACCGTTAAATTCTGGAGTTCTGTTTTTTGCACCGAGCAGTAAATTCCTGAACTTCTCCATTAGATCTGGTAATATCAGCACATTATGTTGACATATTTAAGGCGATATTGGCTCGTTCCAGTACTAAAAGTTGTAAGAAATAATAAAGGACAGTGGTATTCTTTCTCGTTGAGTTAATTAACTGTTTTGATCGTAAACTACGCATCAAAACTACTGTTTACACTTTAATTGCATCTACCCCAGTTAAAATGATATTGTATTGAGTTTTTCGATTTTGCTTCTGTGTATTTATTGCATTGAAGCATACTTGGTCAACTTTTACTTGATTTATTTAGTTAAGGTTTGAAAATCCCTTTACATATCCTGTTTTTTGTCACCGTTCTAGTTGATTTTCACGATGGCTAGGTCTACTCATAAATGTGGACAACCATACTGCTTATTTCCCATGGAGGAAGGGATGCAATGTGATGAGTGTAATAAGTGGTTCCATAAGATGTGCACCCGATTAAGCCCCACTGCATATAAAAGGTGCTCAAAGCCCAACTCTCTTTGGCTTTGTAGTTTTTGTTGCTCAAGCAAAACATTGCTTATCCAGGAAGAAATTAGTCTCCTGGTTTTGGCTTATAAGAAGGTTGATGAGGGCTGTACTGGCAACATTGGCACTGATGATGAAGATTGCCTTAGTATCGTTAGTGCTGTCACGGCGCAAGCCAGATATCTACCTGTGCAACTCGCAGTTAAACGTTCTCCCCCGAAACGTTCAGTGAGTGACTCGTCATTAAACGATGGTGGCCATATTGCTACAGCAGCAACGGGTGACCAAGATAAAACAATTACTGTCCCGATTTGTTCTAATGTAGACGTTTCGATCGATGGAAAATGGATGACGCGAAAACGCAGAAGAGTAAGAAAGATAGCTAAAACTAATGACTGTTTACTTGGTAAGTCCTTGGTGGACTCTCAGACCAATCCGCCAAAGTCCCATAGTAAAGCTTTGTTTAACATTGTTGTGAGTCATTCGCTTGACTCCCAGGACTCTGTTACAATAAAAACTAATCGTAAGATACCAGTAGTTAAAATGCAGGATCTAACGTCACGGTCGAAAGCTGTGATAGAGTTTCAAGTCGCAAAGGGGGAGGTATAATATTATACGTTAGGGATCACTTTCGTATACAATCAACCATATCGGAGGCTCATATCAGTGGCACATGTGAGGTTGCATGTGCTTAGATTAAATCGAGGAGTGGGTTAGTGACTATAGGGGGAATATACCATAGTCCGTGTTGTCTTGCTGACGACTTTATCCTAAGACACATCTGTTCTTGGAGTATGGCAGGATGTTATCTCATCATTGGGGACTTCAACGCACCTCATATCAACTGGATAGAGCTTACAGCTCCAGGTTGTGGTTTCGATAGCGACCTTCTATTTACCGTTATTCAGCGTCCACTTGTACAATGTATCACAAAACC